ATATGTAAACATTAGGAGACAGATTCAGCGATAGAAAGCTCCAACCTAGAATTCAACTCTGTAAAGTCTTCAAATCCGAGACCAAAACTCGCCGACTGCCAACCCAGAAATGTGGCCAGGTTGATTCAGTCTTGCATCGGTTACAGCAGCGCACACGAAGAAACGCTTTGTGCTCCTGAAAAGCCTTCCTTTGTCTAAATGTCATCTGCTCCGTAACAGTGACTGCTGCTGACTCATAAGATTAATGCTAATCAACTCCTCGTCCTGCACTGGGCCCTGCGCTGGTGCCCGGTCAGCCCAGGTCAAACTCACCACAGCGGCGGGCGGGGCATGGGCAGGGGAGGCACTTAACACCGCGTGGAGATAACGCAGATAAACCCTTTTAACTGACACTAACCCTCAGGACAAATGCACGAGCCAAGAGCGGAGCGAGCCCTGGGAGACGTCACTGCTCATCAATAATAAAACGTCTTTTCTACAGCTACAATTCATTACTACAGAGCACATTAACCAGCATCACCAGAGCAGGGCAGCGGCTGTTGTGGAGGTCACTCAGGGCTACCGCAGGCATAGAACTGAGGTACTTTTTCAGCCATGTTGTATTAAAGCGGGGTTGACAAACTTATTTTGGTCGGGGGCAAAAATTAAAAACATAAGAACTGGTAGGGGCCAAAATTATAGAAGTGTATTTGACATATGTTTAGATATTATTTTATAACGTAACTGGGCGCACACAATCAATCAATAAGAGATTACCAACAATGCAGAAAGATACTGTAATAATAATAAAACAAGGGGCCACTAAATATAGTCTCGCAGGCCGGATTTGGCCAACGGGCCTGAGTTTGACATGCGTGTATTAAAGGAACAGTAGGACACCACTTGAATGTTATAATGCATAATTACCTTAAGACACAATGAGCAAATAGTTTATCATTACAGTTATGGTTCTGAGGCAGATACTGTCCAATCAGAATTCGATAAGAATACTATTCGGGTTGCCCGTTTCTTTGGCGAAATCCAGTATGTGCAGCCTCTATCACACCTAGGGCGCACATCTAACCTGTGCCTAGTTGTAACTGTTGTGCCAACTAGAGTACATTCTTTTCTACATACCACACATGCTACATTTTAGCTATACATTCCATTTCCATACATACTTTTCATAGCACACACTTTATATAACGCTTACAGATGACAAGTTAGCGCATGAAAATGGGTGGGGATAAGGTGTAGGGTGGACGGCAGGAAAATACAACATTCCTCAAACTTGGGGAAATCAATCTTAACTAAACTTTAGGTAAGTTCGAGACAAAAGAACCTCTAAGAATGTTTTATGTTAACTGTTCAGATAGGTAGAAACTGGGTTAGGGATAGGGTTATCACTGGATTTGCACAAACAATAAAAAAAAGGTCGACTTTGCATACGTCTCATAACTAGCCCTTTTCTCTTCTCACTTTTAAAACGTCTGCATTAGGGCGTCCGTAACACTGCTCCAGCTTCTGTTTTAAATGGACAGGTGATTGAACCGAGGCCTCAGAGCGTTTTGGATGTGTCAGTGTGAACGGGGCTGTACCCTTCCACCATAGCAGCAAATTGCCTTCTGATCATGCATTAGTCAGATAATGTTATTGACTGTAGACTGATGTGAAAGATCTGAGAGTTCATGGGAGGCCGCTGCATCCAGGAGAAACTTGCATTATGTTAGCGGTAAACACAGACCCAGAGTGTCTGGCTTGAGGTGATTAAACTTCTGTGTAGGAGACTAGTAGATGGTCTGTTCTATTGTTGATTCACGTCACTTAAAAATTTCCATTTCCATTTCCATTTCCATTCCAATTGTCTCCTGTCACACTGCAAAGTTACAAACTCGATGACTGCGCTCACAGACTTGAGAATCCATTCAGTGGTGCAGAGACTCGGCGTTAAGTTTTGAGGGTTTTACAACAACCTGCTCAGTGAGGGAGTACAGGTGTAAATGTAGCGCTCCTGCTACAACCTGATACAATAAGTCTCTCCTTACATTTTAAAAAATAAAACATGTACTATAACAAGCTAAAGGCGAGTCACCAAAACGAACCAAAACCAACACGGTGACTCCGACATAGTACTTTGGCCAATTTTGGGAATTCCACTGAAACCATCAACAGTGCCAATGGGTGGAATAAAAAACCACCTGTTAACTATGTGTTTGACATGGGTTTCATTTCAGTCACTTTTAGAATTATGCATTCATTTGTTTTGTTTGCACGAATGAATATCTTTCTGCTGCTGGACAACTGAATTTCTCCTACAGGGAATCCATAAAGTGTCTATTTAGCAAGATGTAGATAAAAAGTAGTCTTCAGCTGATAGTACACAGAGAGAACGCGTTCAATAATGCGTTTGCTGTATTTGTGGTATATCAACGTCGTCACATGTGGCCAAACGCTCCACTGAGATTCGCGGAGTGAGACAAGCTGAAGCTGCCGGTGTGGCCATTGTCGTGGTTATACACAGGTCAGTGTAAGTGCAGTCAAAAGTGCAGAAGTCGGACACAGTAATGCTAGCCATCCTCTCAACTGGATCTAACAAAAGTGTGATTTAGAGCATAAGTGGTATGCACTCGGAGGCCAGTTAAAGTTCAAATATACTGTGTATGACAGGGAAGCATTATGTGTATTGATTCGCCATATGCAAAAAGAAAGGCAGTAGCTTTCACTCAATAGCATTAAGTTAGTATGTCATTACGTAAACATTTCCAGTTCAATTCTCCTGCTTTACGTTTGTGGCATGAAGTCGTTTTCATAATGTTGTCCTTTTTATATGTTAGATCTACTTGGCGTTCAACAAGTCACACTCACAGCATAGTTATTTTAGGCTCAATGTTTATCATGTGTATTCGGGAAACATGTTAGTTGTACGTTATCCTTGACTCGTTGCATTTCATATTATTTTCTTTCTCATAGCTAGTGATACACCATTGAATCTCAGTAATACTGCATTTCTCGAGATGACCTCAACTTACTAATACTATCATTAATAATACTAATGATAAACAAAATAATTCTGGCTCCACAAAAACAAAACCTTGGGATGTACTATCATTACACACTTAGAGCTAACAGTGATTTAGAGGGAAATAAAGCCAATACAGTCGGTTGCTTTGTCAATTTGTCTAATAATCTACAAAAAAAACTAGTACGGCACTAAAATGTGGCAATTTCAATTTGAGAAAAAGAATGCCTAATATCCACATTAACTTTCATTGACATAACTTTAGAAAGGACTTTTGAATGCAATTCAAATGTGATATGGTAATGCTAGAAATACCATACCCTGACAAGCTAATGTTGCATAGCTAAACATTGACACCCATGTGACAAAGTCCACGGCGCTGTCATTAGCCGTTTATGGTGGTGACAATTGATTAGCCACGTACGGATCATTGAGAGTTTGAAACGTATTTACTCAAGATGTCGTTTGGCTCTGGAAAAGCACACTTTCTAATACATTCTTTTTCACAAGTCAAAGTCTGGTAAATAACTAACTAAGAATAAAATAGATTCTCAGTGATATATAGTGAGATTCTATGAAGCAAAGAGAGTTTAATAATTGTAGAAAACCATGTTTGGTCAGAATACACAAACAAGAGAAGCTACTACTTTAAACTACTGACACAGAAACCCAAAAGCTGGACAATTCCATTCCAAGCTATTTATGGGTACGAGCTTCCTGTTACATGCCACATTATGAGGACTTCTTCCCATTCAAAAGATGTAATGTATAGTTTCAACTGTGTATCACTCTCATTGGCAAAGGAAAATAACATGAAACACAATGAGTCCAGGATAAACATTTAATGAACGACATATTGCCACGGTAAACAATATGAAAACTGCTTTATGTCCCTGAGACAAAGCAGGAGAAACCCAGTGAACAGCTGAAACAAATGACAGCTGCTTTAAAAGAAAGAAAATGGCAAAAGTATTTCAACTATTGGAAAGACGATGTATAGACAATAAACGTATAGAGCAGCAACAGACATTGCACCCTGGCATACCATCCATCCATCATTTGTACCAATATAATTTAATCTATTCATCCAGATTTCAGCTTCCTGGTTAGCACAACTATCACTGCATTTATTAATAGTTTATCAAATTAAAATCGCTGTAAAAAAAAAGAAGTTAATTTGCACTTGCTTCACACGGAGCAGTTTCCTTGTTGCATCGGACTGTCCCGTAAGCAACACTTATTGTTTAATTTATAAAACAAAAAGCATACACACAATATATTAAACTCCTTATTTCTTTTAAATTAGAGTGTGACTTTATTTTCAAACATATAAAACAACTCTTGCAATTAACCTAATTCAAAGATTAATTTAATAAAATAGAAACAAAAATATATAACAATTGATTACTAAAATAGATGCAAATATATTTTCTTCTGATTCATGCAGCCTTTGCCCCATCTTTCCTCATTCAAAATACATTTGGTCTTTTGAATGGGATAAAAGGGACATTCAATATTGTTGTTTTGAAATTGTTAATCACTATGGCAACGGAGCTCATTTTTCAAATCATAACAGGCCTATTCATTGCTATGGCAACAGTTCAATGTTTTCGTTGCAGTGAAAAACCCGTGAATCATAGGAAGCTGGACACATGAATGTACCGTTTATTATCAAAAAAAAAAAAAAAAAACAGATTACCACATACTAGTTAATCTAATGTAAATACGGATTCGTTTGCTTTACTTGACGCACACAACGGCGTTCGCATGTCACGTCGCGGGGCCGCTGTCAATAAGTGTCTGCTTTCGGACACCAGTTTGTGTGTTAAATACCAATGCAATGACCACATACACACGTCCATGCCACTTCCACTGCTCCCTGCACCAAGGCCTCACATGTAGACGAGTGAATCAGGCTAACTCCACACGGCTAGCATCATGACGTAAGGTTAGCACTAGCAACAGCAGCACACATACCCCGTTAGCTTAGCATGCTACTTACGTTTTCCTGTTGATACGCGAATCCAATCCCGGTCCAGCGCTGGATTTCGCCCGATTGTGAAGAATAGCTGCTCTCCTGCCTATCTGCGAAGCTAAGGCTAGCCAGCTAACCGTGTTGTGTTTCCTTATTTGACAAAAATAATCGCGAATGGCCTCAGATGAGCGGTGATAATTCCTTTCTCGGTGGTCCCCTGCTTGGATAGCGTTGATTTTTACGCATGATTGACGCCAGTTCTGCCCCTCACATAAACCGTAGGAAATTCCGGTGGCTCCGAAGCAAATAAACACAATTGGTTATATTATTCAACACTGACAAATCTCGCACTTTCGCCCATTGAAAGGCCAGAGCTTTCCTTCGACTTTGGGTGCTGAACAAGAGGAGGTGCTATTTTTGGCATGAGCGCTCTGATTGGTCGGGAGGGTGAGTCACAACGCCAGGTAATTGGCTGAGGTGGGTGTCAATTAGCTCTGCCCCTGTCCGGATCTGACCGCTGATTGGTTCGTTGGCAAATATATGTGATGCATGTGAAGTTTCAGACGCGCGTGCGAGGGGCAGTCATTCTTAAAAAAAAAACACCTCTGATCGCCCTCTTCGGTCAAAACATAGACCGTAGAGCTATATTCTGTACCTATATAAAGCAAATTATACTATACAAAGCGAATTATAAACAACAATATTCACAATAATAGAACCAGCTTTTCTTATCAAACTGATTAGATCGAGCTACACATGAAAGTCACGTAGGTTGTTTTAATGCACTGGGATAATTATAAACAAGTACAAATACATTCTCAGACACACATCTAAATATCTTTATATATTACACCATATTAGAGAAAGATGTATTAACCCTGATCCCATTTTTTTTGTTGGATACATTTGTTAGTTGATAGCAATAGTTTTTGATAAGCAAACACATTACAAGACAAAAAGCATTCAAACTTGTTTGGCTATGATCTGCCACAGAGTCACATAGAAATGCAAATGGATTCAGATTCAGAGTGTTTCAAGAGGCTATTTCCATGGATTGGCCCCCTGTTGTCAATTCTGTCCTATTACCCCAGACCCTTTGGATTATAAACTGTTGGCTGTAAACTCAGGCTCTGTAGTTCTGGCCTCCGATGGCTAATTTATAAGGTGTAACAATCTGTGTACAAATGAAAAATGGGTTTGATTGGCAGACATGTTTCTGTCATTCTGCTCCAGGGCAGCTGTGGCTACTGGCAACAGGAGTAGTTTTCCATCACTGTGTATGTAGTGAATGAATAATGCCAACGCGCTATACAAACCATAAAACCGATACATTATTATTATTATTGTTAAAGGTGACCCTCCTTGACAGTAAGTGGCCGTGCAAAAATCTAGTATTGTTCATTTTTTTGTCATAAATGCAGTATGTAAACTTATTTGTGTATGTTAGATATGCTAGTTCATTTGGAGGACCTTGTTATTGTTATTGTCATACTGTATATCAATTTGTTGATGTTGCTTCCTCTACTTTCTTTCTGCATCCAGAAGTTTGATATGGGAAGGGCATTTGATAAACTATTAACAAACAATTCTGGAAAAAAGAATAGTAGTATAAAAAAAAAGGTCTTGCACTCCAGTCTGCGACCCTGCTCCCCGTTTGTCTAACATTGCATGGTCATAAGTGGTTAGCCATGCTTCTAAGTTTGTGAATACAGTAGTCTGCAGTAGCACAGCAGCATATGTTCTGCCGCTCTCTCCGTTTTAATTGCCATAGTCCGTGCATGTATGAATTACTTCTACAACACAGGCAACACACATTTCATATTTCATGATAAAATGTGTGTTACTGAGCAAAAAACATTGTTTATTTCTAAGCTTATACCCAAACTTATATAAAACATGTGAGAAAACAAAGGATGTCCACAGAAATTAGAAGTTGAGAAAGTAAAATGTTCAAATCAGACCACAACATCAACAACAGTGTGAGTGATGGTACGCAAGATGATGGAGTCAGGGCGCTTTTGTGTGGTGCACACTGGGGACTTTTGCAAATGTATTCCAATGTGGTTTTACTGCAAATGGCGAATAAATGAATCTAAATCTGAACATTCTGACTTTATAATAACGTGTTATATTTTGCGTACTTTCAATTCAATTCAATATATTTTTTTGTATAGCCTTAATCACAACAGTAGTCGTCTCAGAGGACTTTACAAAGTTATCAATTCCTCAACACCAGATCAGAGAATCAATCAGTTTAAACACAGGAAATACAATAATAACAAACATAATGGGCATGGGTCCATAGGGAGCGGGACCAATATCCATAAATGTCCTTAAATCACTGTCCTTAGACCCTCCAGTGAGAATCTCCGGGGAGGCCTAGATTGATCGACAGGCTGTAGATCCAGGACTCAGGTTGAGGAACGAGGACTGAGGCTGTGCGGTGCAGGACTGAGACGGCTCTAGGGAGGGGAGTGCAGCCCACTGGTCCAGGCCGGGGGAAGACAGGTGTAAGTGGTAGATCTGTATAAGTCACTATTTGACGCTTTTGAGCCATCATGGTCTTCTTTTTTTCACTTTTCTGTCTGAAAACGCAACTTGAAAATACCTGCATATGTTGCCACACACAGAAAAACACTCAATTCTAACAAAACAAGTGATAGAACCAAAGTGTTTTTAGAGCGAGGAACTACAGTCAGATGGATTAGGTTGGACAGAGGGGCAGTTCACATAGAGGTATTTAGACGGATACAGTGAAGTGTGGCTGCTTTATCCCATGTCATTTTGCGATGCAGCCTTGGATTAGACCAGATTTTTATTAATGAAAAACTCCTCATATTTCAGATCGTCCCCCAGAGGAAAAGCCCGGTTTAGGAAACAGCAGCAAAGGCATGTTACTGACAGAAGGGCAGATATCACAAGGGCCTTTTAATTTCCCAAGATGAGGGATTAGAATTTGATCATTGGACTCTAGTTTGAGGATGTTCAATTGCAGATTATCCCAAATGTTATAAGTCTTTTGTCCCTTATGTCCCTCAAATCCTTAAATCCAACACTACACACAGACACGCTTAGTGACACACTGCCAGACTAAAAACATGTCATTTATTGTCTGGATATCTGGTAATCTTTACTTTTACATTATGGTAAAGCATTTGGTTTATTACATTTTGTGAGAAATGAAGGAAGGAAATAAAAAAAAAACTTTGTTCCTTCCTCAGTGGGTAGATCACCTCTCTAAATCTCTCTATATAGTCTATAAATCTACTTGGAACTGAAATCTACCTCTTCAGGGAATGATTGTATGTATTTTATGCTGTTTGCTTTTCTCATCTTTATCTTTCAGGCCCGTGAAGCCCTTTGGGTAACTGGTGCTGTTGTTAACTGCTATACAACAAAATCTGACATTGATATTTTTGGCACGTATACTATCAAACTGCATCATAATAGAGAAGTAAGCATAAAATGTCGGACTTACTGTAGCATCATAGTAAGTATATGCACATGTTAGCTATGGAAGACTGTTGGCACCTTAATTCAATTGTCTATTAATTTGTCAAATGGCTATGCATTATGTTATTTTAGTATTTATTTTGTATTTGTATTTGTCAAAGTGTAATGTTATATCCAATTTTGACATTTAATGTTCTATTCCAAAAGTTCTAATGGCAATTCAATGTGTAAAGTGTCGATACAATGTCTTTATATATTGCAAATTACAAGATTTTGGAATGAATAGCATATTGGCATGGAAATTTGGCCTCTTTATTCATTGTTCTATTCATTCTTAACATGGCATTTCGTTTAAAGTTGTATTTGGCAAAATTGCATGTTATATCATATTTTGACTTGTAATGTTCTATTCCAAAAGTTCTAATGGCAATTCAATGTGTAAAATGTCAATGAAATGTCTTTACATATGTGGTTCTATATTGCACACTCTGACATTATTCAAAGTATCAATGCAAAGATAATTAAAGTAAAGTGACAGTGGACACATGCAGTTATATAAAGTTATCATAAAGACAACTCTAAAATGTGTCTGCAGTGAATAGTGATAGAGAGCAAAGCGGGAAATGCCAATGCTGTGTGTTAAATCTCTGTACTGGGGCATATAAGAGCTCTGTCTGTATAGGTCGAGGCTGGCTTTACCGTCTTACAGCAGCAGCTAAGAGGAGTAAATTAAAAAACTGTTATGTCTAATCCCTTGCTCCGCGAACAAGTGGCCCACCGCGGCCCTCCCCAAATCCCCCCCAAGTGTTTACAGGGATAAGACGGCTTAAAAACACCCAAACTCAGATGAGAAAGTACTGTACACAGACACACGCGTGTAAAGCTCCAGGCCGGGAGGGTGCATTCCTTGATTGTGGCCCATTTGAGGAGGGGTCTGGTGGGGGACAATACTCTCCTTTTCAGCCCGTCTCTGGGACATCTGGGTCACATGATTAAGTGCAATCTTCTGCTTGTTCATTCGCAGCTTACACAGATTAGACTGAGGGGAAACATGCAGAGACACACGGACTTAAGCGGGAGGGCAAGACATGGGTGCAGGTGGTGCTCTGGGAAGGAGAGGTTTGAGGACAAGTAGAGGCCTAATGTTTTAATGTTTAATGTGTTAATTTACTATGAGCAGTCAGAGGAGAAACAGTAGCAACAGACTACTCTCCAGAAAGAAATGTTTAAGAGCTGAGAGAAGAAAGGGTTCTTTCAGATCTGTTTGTCTGTTAAATATGTGAACTTGATTACAATTGTTAGTGACTTTTAGAATGATATATTTAGTGGTGTTTGTGTGAATGGATGTGTTTCTGCTGCTGGACACATGGATTTCTATCTCTATATCCATCTATCTATTTATCTATCTATTTGTTTTTTTTATCTATCTATCAAACGATCATTTTGCTTACTGTAGTGTACATACTTCATGAGACCAATAGTTATTTAAAGTGATATTACCTCTGTAGCCCCAGCTGCCTGATTGAAGCACGACTGCCTTTCTGTGCCATCCGTAAAAATTAACCCTAACAGTCACTATTTGAGGCTTTGGGCTGAGAGCTGGTTTTGTTGTTGATATTTGAACATATACAAAATTGACCTTAAAATGTACATGTGATAGTTTTAATCTTTCTTCCTAATTTATTTACATCTCGTGGTCCAGTCGGCTATATATACTACTAATATATGACATCTATGGCTTATCATGATACATGTTTATTCAAAATATTAATATTGATTTTAAACAATGTTAGAAAATGTGTAGAACCGGCGTATAGCTCTGAGATGTGCGCGTAACACAGCCCATCTCTTGACCTAAATAAATGTACTCTGCTGTTGTTCTAATAATGAAGATTTACATAATGTGGACCTGAATTAATGACCCACTTGTAAGGAACTACACACACCTTATTCACAAAAGTGGCTGAAGTGTGTGGCATTAAAATGAACTCTATACTTAAATAAGTTTTTTTTTATCTTTAGAAACACCAACACTTGGAGAAGTGTTTCACTTCTTGGAGAAACTTTCACCATATTGGGACTTCTATAATACATTCATGTATTATAGTGAAACAGTCAACACGTATGATATTTGTCTATATTTTTGTTATCTGTTTGTTAATGTTTGTGTCTGACTCAAAGATTTAATAATAATAATATTATTAAATCTGTAAATGTAGTGACCGACATGGCTTGACTTGGCTGTTGTCATAGCCTCCTCTAGCGGTAATCTCAAGTCACTACAGGGCAAATACAATAGTATGTATTATGACCAGGAGGTGGCAGTGCATGACAGTACATTCAGTGAAAGCCCTGCACCTCAAAAGCCAAAACAACGGAAACTTTATTATTATTATTATATTGACTGTTTTAATATTATTTTTCATCAAATACAGTTTTATTTTGATATTGGGTTGGTGTGGTATTGTTGTTGTTGTGATGCATTAAAAAGCAATAGACTGCATAATTATTGTTTTTCCCAATAAAATTTAGTCAAATAGGCATACCAGCATAAAAAGAGGAATTAAAAAATAATGTTGTTGCTGTAGATTTAATCATTTCCTATCGTTTCCCTCCCAAACATAACGGCACAACGATCATAAGTAGTGAACTATCTTATAAGATTAATTATATTATCTCTGTAGTTTCATAACACATGTTGGTGGTTTCTTTTTGGGAGCGATTCGATCTTAAAAACTCTGCTCCAGGTGAGGCTCGAACTCACAACCTCGGCATCGCTCTGCAGATCACTGTCATATAAGTACCGCGCGCTAACCGATTGCGCCACTGGAGCTTCGCGGCACAATGGTCGCAAAAACGCTTTAAAATTGTGACCAACTCTTGTGGGTAAAATAGCACTTATAAAAGGCTTTTTCGGCGAGTTTTTAATGAAAAGATCAAGTGAAGGAGCGGACGCGAGATTTGCAGAACGAAGAAATGAAGAAAAAGCTAAAGGAAGGTTGTGGAAATGATGAGGCGTTTAAGGACACGAGATAAACCTGGGAGAAAGCGGATGTAAAAGTGCGTATTGTTTTAGGACACGGGGAAAAGGTACGAGTTGTAGGTACTAGGCACTCTGGTAAAAGTAAAAGTACTGCAATTATTCTCTTGTAAATCTAGTCATAGTGTGCATAATGTGTTTAAGTGAATTACATAAGAACATTTTACTTTTATGGACAATGTGTTTAATTGAGAACTTTACAGCATTATAATATTGCAGATTATTATTTTTTACTGGCAGAGAACATGACAAAAAATAGAACAAAATTGATTTAAATTATGTCTATTTACTTTACTTTATCTGTATTTTCAATACAGATATACTGTATGTGAATGCATGTGTATTGTGTGTGTGTGTGTGTGTGTGTGTGTGTGTGTGTGTATATATTATTTGTGTGTGTGTGTGTCTATTGATGTTATTGACAGCGACAGTAGGTCTCACTCTGCCCAGAGCACAGGCTGCAATTCCAGGAACATCAATGATCCCAAAGTCTCATTTCTAAGAAGCTCTGCTAAAATAAACCACCTGTTATTGGGTTCTTTTGCAGCTTGACCCTGTGTTGTCCATCTCAATACAATTTAACTCCACAAATATGAATATGTAAATGGTAAATATGACGTTTAAAAGCACAGTGAAGATCCTATGAAGTCTCACCTTCACCCCATTTTAAGACTTTGACACCAATTCTATCTCTATGCGTTTTTACATTACTATTATTACGTAACTTCTATCTCTGCCTCCTGCTGCAAAAGACACAGGGTCTGGGGTTGTGTCAAAGGGCAGAAGACATGTTTTATTGACGTTAAAACGTCACTTTTTAATAGCAATAAGAGCAAAAACTACCATTACTACTACTACTATTATTATTATATGTAGTTGATTTTTGCAGCAGCAGTAGGTAGAGATAGAACTGAAGTAATAGTAAAAGTTTACGTAAATTTCTATAGTTCATGTAAACGTCTTCATTGTGAGATCAATAAAGTTTATCTTTTCTAATTGTAAGTCTGTAACTGAGAGAACGGCCTGTCAAGTCTAATTAATAAAAAAAAAAACACATGGAAACCAAGAAGTTATTGAACATTTTTCTGTTTTATTTTGATTTTCAGCATATTCATAATTCAACACAAGACATACAGTAACACAAACAGAATCATTTGAATGAAAGAGAAGAAATCTGCTTGTTCTAAAATCAATGGTCTACATCTCTATTGGGCAACTGTGAGGCCAGATTCTACCACTCCAAGATCGGCCTCGAAACGATGCTTTATCACGGAGCCAGGTAGTACGACGGTTTTAGCCTCGTAATAAACGCAAAAAGTGGAGTAATATTGAGAGATATTGAAGCCTCGTTCTTGCTGACGATAAGTGCGTTAGTTTCATAGACAGTAGATTGAATGGACTATGGAACTGAATGAAACGGGTAAAACGGGAAAAATATTAGACACAGCAGATTCAAACAACAGATTTGTGATTTTTGTGTCTCTACAGAAGGCATGTCCAACCCGAGGCCCACGAGTCAATTGCGGCCCATTGCGTCATGCTATGTGGCCCCCTGTCTTGCTAACTCACAGTAGGCTTTGAGTTCATAAACTCAACTTCATCCAGCCCGCTTCATCAATGTACCTCGTTTTTTAAATCTTAGAAACTGTAGAATTCCCCAAATATTTCCACAAAATTCACATTTTTTTTTGCTAATGTCGCTGGTGAGATGGCAAACATTAGTCATTCAGCCAACTTCAGCTGTGGTATAGCTTATGTTAAAGTTAAGAACAAGGTGGTGAAGGAAACAGGTGCGCCTGGAGGGATCCCACTCACGCCCGGGTTGACACGGGATCAAACCCACAATCTTCTTATTTCGAAGCATGAGTGCCACCTGCATGTGAAAGCTAGATCCCTCTGAAGCTAAAAAGGGCAGAGCCTGGTTAGTGCTGTGATCTCTGGGAACACCAGGGTGCCACAGTGGGGCAGCTGCCGCGGTAAAGTGCCAAACTGCTGTTGTGTCCTTAGGCAAAACACTTCACGCGCATTACCTAGAATAAGTCTGGTGTGTGTGTGAATGGTTGGTGGTGGTCGGAGGGGTCCCTGGCACATACTCACGGCACTTGAGTTGTGTCACAAAATCCTGTCTATGCTAAGTGGCACGGTGGCTGAGTGGATAGCACTCTCGCCACTCAGCAAGAAGGTTCTGGGTTCAAATCCCAGTTGGACCAGGGCCTTTCTGAGTGGAGTTTGCATGTTCTCCCCCTTCTGAGTACTCTGGTTTCCCCTACCACTAAAAACATAGGACTGCTGTCCTAAAACATAGTCTCCTGTACTGGCAACCCCGCTCCCATCTCTGTGTGGAGTGAGAGGACAAATGCCCAAAAATAACAATTATAATTAGAAAGAGAATGAGTACAATTTACAATGTATTGACAATGATATTTTACAGAATGGAGCTTTTCCTATGAACGCAATGAGAGCAGCTTTGAAAAATTAAAAAAATCGCTGGCATGTTTTTGTGTCCTCGGCGGCTGAGTGCACTTCGCTTTTCGTGTCAAACCTCGACATCTTCTTTGACAAAATTCAAACAATCAATGCCCCAAAAACACAGTAAAAACAAGTTCTACAAATGTCTGTCAATAAAAGGAGCAATCTTGAAGTCTGTCAGCTGGATGCGATTTTAGTCATGTTTGCAAAAAGCCTTATTAGCTTAGTTTGAACTTTATTTTCTGGGTGCAAAAATGTTTCGGTTTCGTTTCAAAGAACAAATATTATGCATTATTTTGTCCCTTAAACTCGATGTTAAGAATACATACTTTTACATTTCATGGTGTAGCATACGCGATCATTGTGTTTGTAGAAAATATGTCATCAAAAATAACTAAGAAGCATCAATACTGCCGACTAGTGACAGAACTGGGACATTACATCCTGCTATATTTACATTGAAATCCAAGAAGGAACATAATCATTTGACCGGGGAAATGGTCAAAACTAACTTGGAGGAAATACTTTTGCTTTAAAAAGTGCAAAACGTCTCTGCCCTCGACGTCAAATAGTGAAAGGATTTGTCGAGTTTGAACTAAGAGCATTTAGACAGATGGGGCGGAGGTTCTGTCTTTGATGAGGAAGCGGTGTTAAATGATTCCTCATGATTTTGCATAATATTTGTCCTTGTGTAAAGTTTTGTTCAACTCTTGAGGTGGACTGGATCGTGAACAGGGCTGTGGCAACTCTGAGTTCTGTAAATAACATGTGACAGGGTTCTTTGTGAGGGTGAAAATTGGTCTCACACTAGTCTCCTTCATGTGTGAAATGTTGAAAGCTATTTCAAAGGTGCTGTCTGATTTTCTCACTCACACCAAATTATACACTTTTGAATATTTTGTTTTGTGTATTTTTAGTCGTGAGTTTTGGATAATGAACGGAAGGTCTAGATTGCAGATACAAGCAATCTTCCGCAGACTGACTGAACGCTTCCTTCAAATGCTTCTCCACATCAAGAGGAGCCAGTTGAGGTGGCTTGGAGAATCTGTTTGGGATGCCTCCTGGATGCTGGGGAGGTGTTCCGGGCAATGGATAGAGTGGAAGAAAGTGGATGGATGCATGGACCCAGAAATGCAGTGTTTTACATCAGCACACAATAAAATAATGAAAGATGGAATATTTTTTAGGCCAGATTATGGAACATTCCTAAAAAGGCAATTTTCATGAGATACTACACACACCATAACAAATGCATGTGAGATATTTTAGATGCCAAACTGTGAAACTATGTAATGGAAGAAAAAAACATGAGTTGCCACAGCCCTGTCCACAGATTCATACATTAGTCCTACTGCTCAAGTTGTTTCCGAGAGTAAAACGTGTTGGAAGAAGTCATTTTGGATTTGATTTGAGAAATAAAGAGAAGAATCATGTACCCAGATGTGTTCCGTGTAGCTTATTTGTGTCCCAGTGCACGTACATTGTGAACTAAGATTGAGATGTTAGAAATAAATCACTTATTGAGAGTTTTATTGTATGAGCAAAGTGCAATGCTAATGTGGCTAACACGGGCTAACTCCTGCTAACGACTCTTGCTAGCTTTACCATCACGCTCCCACTCACGCTGGTCTTTTAAAGTTGTTTTGAACTATTTTGATACAGTAACATCGGGAACAGGCCTGTTTGGACAAGATTCCCCAATGGAACAATCATAACTAGACTGAGGCGTTCACTTCAACTGGACCAAGTTGGATTTACTTGGGGCAAAACGCTTCACAGACATTTTTTAACACAAAATCTCCCAGAGAGGTCATTTTGGCGGCTTTTTGTTTTGGAATTGTAACTACTCAGCTCTTGTACATGTTTGGTCTTTTCTGTTTTTCTTTCCACATTATTTTTTCTCTCAAGGTGCTGGTCCTGGATCTGGTTCTTCTGCCAGACTAGAGCAAGTGCTTGTTACCATAGCAACACACTGTTTACTTTCAGTAGTTTGTATTTAGTAGCCTTTCAACAAACTATTATTGCTGTGTTTCAAAGTGTATTCAACAGTTTTAGCAACAATTGAAGGTAAAACTGTATTGGTTAGAATGGGAGTCCTAGAATGAAGTACACACATTCACTTTCACTTGTTTGTTATTGTTAATAATGATCATACAATTTCTTTCAAACACACTTGTCCGTCCACGGAGTCTCAAAGTGAATCTCAGAGTGTTTTTGATGGTTTGCATTTTTGCCCGAAGTGATCCAGTTTTGGTCCAGTTAAAGAGAACCAGACCAAAGACGAGAAATTCTTACTTGGATTAAGAACAAAACCACTGCTCTTGAGTTAACACTAAAGCCGCTTGTCCCATTGGAGATTCTTGTTTCAGAAGAGTCAGAATATACACAATCAATATAAAAAAATGACTTCAAGCACCAAGTCATTTATCCGTCACTGTGTTTGAGCGTTACTTGGACAGTCCCGGTTGGTTTTCCAGTTTCGTTTGCGACGGTAGCTTCAGTCATGGATCACTATGGGCCCCCTCATCCTCAGGCTGGGGTGTGGTTGTGGAGGGGCCAGCAGCAGCCCCTGTGGAGTGCCCTGAGACACTCTGCGGAGGGTGATCTGCTCACAGGGCTGTCGACAGGCGCGCCTCAGCTGGGAGCGGGTCAGTAGCCTCCGGGCCCTCCTGCAAAACAGAGATGAGAGGGGCTCAAGGTGGGCACCAACAATTGAAGGTGGAAGAAGGACTTGGGAACCAAACCTCAAACGCACTGTTGGCCCTTCCCAAAAATAAGACCCAAAAGCCATCGGTGTCCAAAAGAGGCTTAAATTTGAATTAGAACGGATGAATAGAGTTGGTTCTTCCTTTTGCATCTGTCAGAACTTCAAATCAACCAAAAAATAGGGAAAAAAACATCTAATTGTGTGTCATTAGCTGCTACAAATGTTAACATTTTCAACATAATTTAGTATTTTGGCGTCGCTGTCTCTTTCATGTCCTGGTGAGCTTGTGAGGGCTTTGAAATCTCGTTTTGGTTTTATTCAAAAATGACAAAGTCGGCAGGTTAGTGTGACCTATCATTTTTCCAGATGTTGGTTAAGTCTCCAAAGAAAAACACGACACATTATCGATGGATAATCTTGAATCTATGCACGGCGGCTGAGTGAGTAGCACTCTCGCTTCTCAGCAAGAAGGTTCTGGGTTCGAATCCCGCTTGAAACAGGGCCTTTCTGAGTGGAGTTTGCATGTTCTCCCCGTGTCTGCGTAGGTATTCCAGTTTCCCCTACCACTAAACATGTGCAATAGTTCAGGGTGAATGAGTGTGTGTTTGTGAGTGCGAATGTGGGACAACGGATGCAAATTCGCCCCAAGACTACAATCCGGAGTGATGTGTTCATAAACATGTGCTGTCCCAACCAAATAAACAATAAATAAATGCGTATTTACTTGCTGCAGAGGGAATTACCATGACGAAAGAAGAAGTACAAATACATTGGCTTTACGATCATCCATATATTCATGATGAGTTAGTACTGATGAGTCCTGATGCTAGCTAGGATTACCTTCATCAGTGGTGATCAGAAGGTAATTTTCTGTTTGTTTTCTAGTGTGTCTGGATGTTTGAGGGTATGTATGCAGTTTTTTTGTTATGAGTTGTCAAAGTACGGTGTGTACAGAAGTTGTCATGACCATGTTTTAAATGTACAATTACTCGGGCAATGATTTATGGACAAAAGCAGCACAGGAGATAATAAAATAACAGGAAAATTCAAAAGCCTCATTTCTCAGCAGAAAACGTGTGAGGAAGTTCCACCCACAGATGAGACGCAGAGTGGAGAATTGAAGAGGAATTCTCCATTTCAAAAATATGAACACACCACAGCATGAATGAAAAGAAAAAGAGCACTTCCAGTAGGAGGTGAGAAACCATTTCTGACGATCAAAAACTGGATATTTTCCCTCAAACACGTGAATTCCAGGTGGAGATAATCCCACAACAGATATAATTCACATTTCGTCCCACCCTGAAGGACATTAAAAAGATTACTGTCATTATGTGTCCTCGGTTTTTTGGACAGACACCTGGACATTTCTATTCAGCGTGAGAGCCGCTTTTTAGGTGCGAATCCACAGTTATTTACAGAGTCTGTCCTGGCATGAGCATTTGAATCAAGAATTATAACGTACATACAGTTATTGATGGAGTTATGGAAGCAGTACAGTAACAGCATATTACTAAAAGTATGAGATTTTTTCCCATGTATTTGAACAATTGTTGTTGATGCGGTTTTAAATTTTACATGTATTTGTGTGTATCTGATTGAGTTTTATTTTCTTTATCGTTTGTACGTGTGAAGCTCTTTTGGCAGATTAAGTTGTTGTAAATGTGCAATACAAATAAGTGGCGTGAAAAAGCTTTTGGAGTTTGTCACATTTTTGCATAAAATACCCATTAAATGGGATCTGATCCTTCTCAAAATCACACCATGTCACACTGTACATCAAACACTGGTCACTCGTCACCCTGTAATAAAAATATCCTTAATTACCCTGCACTTACTCGTCACCCTGTAATTAAAACACTATTCACTTGTCATCCTGGTTAAAACTCTCAGCCTGAATTTTTTTTATTTGACTTTTTGTATTTTTGCTTTTTATTTAGTATCTTGTGTTGAGGTCCAAACTTCCTGCCGGCTCCCTGTCTCCACTGCCTTTGTTCGTGGTTTTTTTTGTTCATTAAATGATTTTTTGATGGTGAATCCAACCACATCTCTGTCTCCGCTTTCAGCCTCCAACGCATAACCGTAACTGTCTTCATAAGAAATAATGGGCTCTTATCCTCCATTATTGACAGCCTCACCCCCAGATGTGCAGCTTATGAACACAATTACTCCAAACCCACCATTTATCCGAGCTCCTCCTGAATCTGTTTTTCCTCCTTGTTCCTTCGTTTCATTATTGATCGTTCACAGCAGGACTTTTCCAATAGGACTTAATGGCGACGGAATACGCAGTGGGTTTAGCCGTGGGGAGCTACATTATTGAGAGAAGGATCCTCGGAGATGGCCGTGGTGATGGGAAGCTCATTTGGGTATTAGCACATGGGCTTATTTGCATATAGCTGTGGGTCTTCCTCGCACTTTCCACCCGTGTTTATTCACAGGGTTGACAAATGCCGCTGTTTTGTGAAAGTGCAAAAATCCAAGCTGTCGGAAATACAAGCAGTTTGTTCAGGGCTGATGCGAGGAAAAATGCAGGATTTTGTTAGTGTGACTTTATGGAGATCAGAAGTGCACAATGTTCCATTTGGGGTCAGCAAAAACTTGACTATATATTCACAAGTGTCAAATCAGAAAGAAAAAGAAAGAACATTTTTCGGGGTGGAGTTGGAATGTCGGGGATTTCTTAACGACACTCCATTAAATACTTATGAATGTATAAGGTTCAGAAACAGATATATAGACTGTTATTTTATATGTATTTGTTGTGCAACTAATACATGAATAACTAAATACATGCATAAATAAAAATGAAAAAATAAAGAAAACTCCAGCCATCCATTCATTTTCTTCCGCTTCATCCGTTGCCGGGTCGCGGGGACAAAAATGAATGAAAAATTAAAGAAAACGGTCCTTCTTAATTTTCATCTACAAAGCGCATGTGTATGAGTATGTTTACAAAGCATGAGAATACAGAGAACGCGAATTAAATCATAAAACTCTATTCTGTGTTGCTCCCAAAACTGGTCTGACCACTCTTGTCCCAGTCTACATGCACAAGGCAGGTCAGATGGGAGAACGAATATACAGTATATCAAAACAAACAAGAAAAAGTTCACACCATGACAACTTGACAATAATTTTTCCATGTCTGTTTGATTCAAAAACGAAAAAACCCTCACCCACATTATGTTAATATTAAGATGAATTAAGATTAAGAGATCCTTTATTCATCCCACACTGGGGAAATGTCAGTGTTGCAGTGTTGACAGTGCGAATGAGGAGCACACAACACAAGATACATTATTAACTGTATACTATAATAAAATAAAATCTCTAAATCTGCATGTTTTATTCCAGGTGAACCTCCATTACAACCCTATGACACATATCTTACTTCTGTGGACGTCTGGTGAGCGTTCTGCCACTGGTTTTATTATAATGAAATTTGCTTTAGCGCCCGGTCCATCACGTCTCCTCTGAACCCGTTGGCGCCTCCAATTTTAGTCTCAATCAAACCGACTGAAGCTGTGATCGGGTGCTGCTATAACTCATTTAGAAGCACGCACTGATGGAGCCATATGTCGCCCGCTCACGGCAAGATGCTAACTTTTGGACATACAGCGTTTATACAGAAGAATGAATAAACAATGGAGAGAAATGACTGTTTACGATGCAGCTGCGACGACATATGTTTGAGTAAGTGCGATGTCTTCATGAGGCTGGTTAGAGATCTGGTTAGGCTGATCACAGCCTTGTGACACTTTCAAAGGCGTCTCGTTACTTTGCCTTAGAAGTCAAACTTTAGAACAGTAATTGTAAATGTATAGTTTAGACATTTTTGTGTTTTAATTATTTCAGATTTTCACTCTAGATGACCAATGTCCACAACTGTTGTTAAATGTCGTAGATTATCACCAGGAATGTAAAGATATAATATACAATACATGTAACATAGTATTTGGGCTGTCCAATGGGCTCGGAGATGACAGGTAAGGACCAATCAGAGTTAAGACCAAAACAGGTAACATTTTCTGTCAATCGCTCCACTTTTCCACATTACTAATTTTATTTGAATTTCGGCCCAACTTCAACTGCCCTCCCCGGACACCTCCGTGGGGGTCCGCTACGCAGTGTCAGTGAAAATCATTACAAGAAAGCTTGGAAAATGTGAATAACAAGGTGAAGTATACCATGGTCAAAAGCTTGTTATTTTGTAGGTTTTGTCCCCTTTAAGTTTGATGAAAACAAGGCCTTAAGCACATATAGAATGAGAGCCACAGATATAGTATAAGGTAGGATAAGGATAGATGTTGTTTCTATATGTCAGACAGTGGAGGAAAATGACATATCACTTGGACATGTTTCCACGGCAACATGTCTAAGATGCCAAAGTAATGTATCACCTCTCACACTAAAGCCTGACGTAGATGAACTGCTAGAATCATTCTGCTGAGACTCGATGGATGGAGGCTTCACTCTCATTGTAGCAATAAAGAGAAATAAAACCATTTGCGCGAACTGATGTCTCTGTTTATTTCAATATGGCTCAAAAAAGGCCATTTTTATCTGAAAGAATAAATATCATGCATTATTTTTTATCTTTAAACATAATAATGAGACCATTTCCTTTGTCGTGTGATGTATTAAAATGTGAAATAAAATACAATAGAAATATATGGTGAAATAAGTTTGAAGGGTAAAATAATGCTTTCTGCCTGTAACTCCCTTTGCTGCCACCAGAGGGAGAAGTTGTCATAGTGGTACCAAGTTTTGCTTATGGATTTGCTTTTGAGCAGATTGGCAAACCTTAATGAGCAATACTTTTGTTATAAAAAGCAAACACTGCTGTGAGAATGATGAAATAGAGAGACAATAGTGATGTCATAGTTGTACAATAGTGATGTCATAGTGGTACCAAGTTTTTCTTCTGGATTTGCTAAAGCTAGAGATGTTATACTTGTTTCTTTTTTATGCTAAGAGATTATATTTTAGTATTGTTTCATTTTTCTTGTGCTGTTTGCTCTTCATTCTTACTGTCCTGTAACTGGCGATGCAACACTGAAACTTCCCCACTGTGGAACAAATAAAGGACCTTAGTCTTAAAGTTTTTGATATTACTGTAGAAGAAGGATTTGTTTTTAGGGATTGGAAAATACTGTTATTAGCATGAAGTGTAAATGTTGCTCTGGTCAAAAACAATGGAAACGATTCACGCTTGTAAAGGTTTATTGACAATTCAATCTTCATGACACAGTAAGAGCCCGTCACATGATAAGCCCCGCCCATCACACCTGATTGGTCAGAAGGCGGCAGGGGGGGGAGGGGTCAGGGAGCTCACCTGGTCTCCCTGGTGACGAGGAAGAAGCTGTCGTCCGGAGCGTCAATCCAGTTGGGACGCCTCTTTCGGATCATGACGCCGCCTCTGGTGCCGCCGCTGGAGCTGCTGCGACCGTTGTGCTGCGAGACAAAACTCAGGTCACGAATATGAACGTGGACTGAACAAGGCAAGGCAGGTTTATTTGTATGGCACAGTTCATACACGAGGCAACTCAAAGTTCCTCACAAAACAGTTAACAACAAACACAAAAGGCATTCAAATCATTAATAATCACAGTACATTAAAAAGAGAGAAGATAAAATCCTTCAGTTGTTTGCACAGCTGAACAGAACTGTCTCACATTTTCAGAAAGACTGCTCCAGATTTCCAGCTGCATAAATCTGAAACTCTGCCTCCTCACGTTTAGTCCTGACTCTGGAGTTGTCTCATTAATAACCAACTTCTTAGTCAAGCTTTTACTGATCAAGCCTCGAGGTGAAGAAGTAAGTAAGTAATGTTTATTTATATCGCGCATTGTACAGACCAAGGTCACCCAAAGCGCTAAAGAATTATCATGTTTGACTAACGATGAGAATATTTTGTTTTGTCGTTTCATGTTTAGAACGTGAATTAATATATTAAAATGCTGTAATTGTAGTGTAATTCTCTATGCTACCACCAGAGGGAGGGGTAGACATATGTTCCCTCCCATTTTAATGAATGAATGAATGAATGACCGATTTCACCTGACAAATTACTAAAGCTAATTTATGAGAAATAGTTTTATATTATAATGTGAGCGTGATGTCAAAGTGGTACATTGACATCGAACCATTACAGGACTGAGACTGGAGCTTTTAGACAGAAGGGGCGGAGCTACACGTTTGTGCCAGAAGTTTCTGATATTAGCGTGTTTTTGATGAGGGAACAATGTTGTGGATGGATTTACCTCCGGTCGACTGCCCTGGGGCTGACAATTACATACACAATTTTAAATTACACAAAATTACAACTAGACCAGTTTTCGACCAGTGAATCAAACTACTTCTGGACCCCATTCAGCCCCTGGGCCACAAGTTTCCCTGCTCTATACATTTTAGATCAACGCTACATCAAAATAAGCGTTACATACCAGAGGTCCTCCTGTCGAAGTTTGATTTTCTGCAACAAAACAAAACAGGATTTCAGTTTCAGTTTTTGCACAAATGAAAAATGGACTAAAAGCAAAATACGGCTGTGCTATTATCCTGTGTGTATTCAGTGAACAAAAAGCAGCGCAAGTGGTGGCACATTAGCAGTAGCATCATTATCATTCAACAATTAAGATAAATTAGCTCGCCAATATTACTAGTACAGTCCCTATTGAGTGGTTTGGTAGTAATTATCAATCTGCTTTTGGTCTAAAACATACAAACAACATTTTAACTTAGGGGCCGCTTTTACAACAAGGCAAGAAAACGCAGACAATTTTGATGTTAAATGAAACTGGTAAAGGCTAAGGCAGTTACTACAGCTAAGAAATGATCAAAATAATTTATATAGAGGAAGTATATAATCACCGTTTTTTTTCAAATGTTGCCCCAGTCAGTCTGCGCAGTCAGGGCTGGAAAAGTTTTAGTGCCAATTTTCGTTTTCGTCAAAAATGCATTGTTGCGTAAGCGGCCCCTTTCTTCAGTTTTAGTGGAGAATTGGACTGATTTTGTGGGAATACATTGGAAAAAGACAACATTAAAGAGGCGAAAAAAGCTGTTATGAGACAATTCGGTTCAAAGACAAAGACTGGAAGTGTATGATAAAAGTTATTAGCAACAAAACTTAAAAATCATAGTTATAGTAATAGTTGTAGCTTCATAAAGGCAACCTCTCTTATAGCATAAAACTGTTTATCCCAACTTTTCAAAAACTGGTGGAAAAGTTTGGTCCCCGTTCTTTTAATTTAAAAGTAATTGTATTTTGTTTGGAGACGTTGTTTGGAAGCGAACAAGGTGATTATCTCGTTTTCGACTGCAATCTCATTAAACGTGGGGAGTAGTTTGGTAATGTGGAGCTTTACAGGGACTGAAATGCATTCGTCTGGTCGGATTCAGCCGGGATTAAACTGACAGCAGTTTCAGTGACAGACTGATCCACCCCCCGCTGTGTGAAGGAGAGGTTGTGCAGGTATATCTCCTTCCTGCTGCTGTCAAACTGTACAACGAACACTAACCTCACATGACGTCCATCTGTGCAGTAACTTGAACTAAGAATGTGCAATATGGAACCACCTGTGTCACTGTCACTTTTAACATGTACAGTAGTATCATCAACATTGTATTTGTGTACTTATGTATCACACTGTAAACCCTAACTTCAATCGTACTTCAGATATCAAAGTTATTTTAAATAGATTTTTCCCAGTAAGTAAATATTACTCATTTATTGTTAGTTTATTTAAAGCTTGCCTATATCACTCAGGGTTTTCTTTGAATTGAACTGTTTCTGTTCAAGTAAGCCTCACTTTTGACATTTTGACAATGGCAGGGTGTCCTGGTGGCTGAGTGGGATCATCAGTAGAAATTTAAACTTTATTGCAATCACTTGAGTTACTTGGTAATATCAAGTAAAGGATGTACTCGAGGAATTCAAGTGAAGTTAATACGCAATTTATTTCCATGGTTTTTTCAAGTAAACTTTACATGTCAGGGTTTACAGTATATATTTTTTGCAATAGAGTATACAGTATTGTATTTTTGTATTGAGTTTTTGTTGTTGTAAATACACATATCTAATATAACCTGTATCATTGTACTCAATAAAAAAAGAATAAATAAATAAATACTTGTGCTATACTTAATACTGCCTTATCTCGTGTTGTGTGCTCCTCATTCTACTGTTCTGTAACTTGTGATGCAACACTGACATTTCCCCGCTGTGCTCTCGTCATCCAAATCTATTTTTCATCCACTCCACACACACACACGTGACGTCAGAAACGAGACGAGCATCAAAGCCTCTAACCTCACCATCCATTCACTCTCTCTGCTTCCATTCATTCCTACACAGGCACAGGGAGAACATGCAAACTCCACACATGTACTGTCCTGTGGGTGGAATCGAACCCGGGACCTTGACGTCCATCATTACATCATTACATCTGTGCGGATTATACCTGCGCGTCTCTCCGGGTCTGTGCGGCTGTGGTGGTGGAAGCTGCGTTTTCCCAGCATGCCGTGCGTGCCGTGGGGCAGGGAGGAGAGAAGGCGGCGGGGAGGGGGCGTCTGGAGGCCGGCGGTACGGTGCGAGCGGGACACCTGAGAGGCCGGGCGCGACTCTGGAGACAAAGACACGGGTCAATATATTTTTAGTTTTTATTTAGCAGCATTTCTTTTTGGTATTTAAAGTTATATTCACAGTCTTGTTATTATTATTGTTATTATTATTATTATTATTATTATTATTATTATTATTATTATTATTATTATTATTATTATTATTATTATTATTATTATTATTTATTGTGCTGGTGCTCTGTGAATTGGGTGGTATCTCTGACTGCCACCCCCCGACCCAGAAATGGATTAAGGGGAAGAAAATGTATGGATGGATTATTGTTATTTTTATTATTATTATTATTATAATTATTATAAATTTTATATACAACCTTTACATCAAGCGACTTATTATTTTTATTTCAACACGCTGACATGAATGTGTTAGGTCTATTTGTTACTGTGTGTTTATTAAATTGTATATAGTGATAGTATTGATATTAGTAAAGTATTAGTAGTATTTACCTAGAAACTGCAGTACTGTGGTGAGAGTGCTCCTCTGTGCTGCTCTGATCTTGGGCAGACGGATCCCCTGAGCTTCAGATGCCTTCAGCACATCTGTCAACACACACACACAAACATAAGAACAACACAACACGACAACACATGTGCTGCCCCCTACTGACCACAGCTAAACTCACTCTGGCGCCCTCTCATAAAACACAACTTAAAGCTGAGGTTCCTGACTGATCATTTGATGAACTATACATTTTATTTGATCCAACAGAGGAAAAACAGAAAAATGGTGTCATAAAATCAGACAAAAACATCCTGTCTGTACGTAAAACAAGCAAATTCCATGTGATGTTTGTATAATAACATATGAATGGGCTTTTCACTCATGCTGCTACTTTCTGCGCATCCAAAATACACTTTTTAACAGGGGTTTTCAAACTTTTCTGACAGGCAACCTCAAAATATTCACAAATGAAGAATAAAAATGAATTGTGGACCTCCCCAAAGTTTCCTTGCCGATGCAGGAGGGTCTAAGGACAGTGGTGATGATCCAAGACACTCCACATTAATCAACATTTATGGACATTGGTCATCCGCCCATTATGGACCAATGGCTATATGTGTTTTTTAATCATTTCGTTTCCTCTGTTTGAACTGTTTGATTCTCTGATCTGTGTTGGCGAATCGACAACTTTGTGAAGTCCTCAGAGATCCTCATGACTGTTATTATTTAGGGATATTCAAAAATACATTGAAATGAATGTCAACATAAATTTAAGCACCAAACTATATTCATTGTAGTGGTGTTTCTTTGAATTTTGCTCATAGATCCGACTTTACTCAAAAACTAATAAAATGTTGTACATTTTTTTGTTATTATGGAACTCGACCCAATCCAGATTCCTGCGACCCCCACTTTGGGACTGAGTTAAACTACTGTACCAGTCTTCACACTGGGCTATCCAGAAGAACTGTGAAACCAGGAAGTACCATCACATTAGTCCAGTTCTCAGGTCTCTGCACTGGGTTCTGTGGCTCAGAGAAAAGACTTTAAAGCAGCTCTGTTTGTTACAAGTCTCTCCATGGCCTCGCTTCATAGTACATCTGTGACATGTTAGTGCCATATGAACCAACTCTGAGGAGCACAGGGACTGGCCTCCTGCTGGTGCCCAGAGTCAGGACTAAACATGAGGTGTCTGCATTTAAGTTCCATGCTGCTGAAACAGACTTCCAGAAAATGCGAGACAAACTTCTACTAAAGATCTTAACAGCCCTCTAACAGAAATTAACGTTTTCTATCTTGTTTTTTGTGAATCAGTTTGAGTTGCCTTGTATTTGAAATATGCTACAGAACTGAAAATCCACAACTCTAAACCAGGAGTAAAAGGAGTGCTCATATTTACTCCACATTTTACCCTGATCCTAGGTTTTTTCCCCCAATTTTGGTATGAAATTAACATTCACGGACATTGGTCATCCCTCTCCCTATGGACCAATGGCTTCTATGTGTTTGTTATTAATGCACTTCCTGTGTTTGAGATATCTGATTCTCTAATCTGTGGTTGTTGAATTGTCAACCTTGTATAGTCCTCCCAAGACGACTGCTGTTGTGATTTACGACTAAACAAAAAAATACACTGAATTGCACTGAACCTCTCTCTGCTCTCCCTTTAAAGGCAGATAATGACAGGTGGGAACTTACTTTGGACGGATGGAATGATGCCTCATGCACAATCACACCTCATGCCGACATGCACATGGCAAGAAACCAAACAGAAGAAAATAACCCGTCGACAATCGCAGGCAGAAAGTGTGAGTGGAAAAAATCTGATGGACACAAGACAAATGAGGCACAAAGACTCGGAAGAGAGGCTTTCAATGCAACTTTATTGACACACATTCACACGGTGATGGACGGGACACAGGAAGGAGATGGAGGGTGAACGTTACTGCATTTTGAGACGCAATATTTTACAGAATAATCTAAATCCAAGGTGTCAAACCCAAGACCCAAGAAACCCTTGTTGTCCCTGAAATTATGATTTATTATTATTATGATTATCCAAGAGAGAGGGCGTGGGAGTGAGGAGGGGGTTATGGGAGACATGTACATGATTTTAGTGGTATATAGAAAACCGGAGCACCTGGAGGAAACCTACGCAGACACAGGGAGAACATGCAAACTCCACTAAGGAAGGTTTGGACGTGGAATCGAACCCAAGAGCTTCTTGCTAAAGTAGTATCGGGAAAAGCCAGATCAATTCCAGTGCCCTACACATAAAGTGTCAACCCCAACCTAGAGGAATACTTTGGGCTGTGAGCGGATTGCCTGAGTGAGGTTTCTCTCTCTTTTTTGTGTCTGAAAAAGCTGATAAAAATGTGACAGAGGCCCAAAAAGTAAAAGAACCCAACTGTTTTGTGGAACGAGAAAGAACAATTTTTTTTTTAACATGATGTGTGTGTGGTTTTAAAGTTACATCCCTGCATCTTTACGTACGTACTTACTAAAACTTATAAATATTTGCCACCTCTGGCTCTCGCATCTGTAATTTCTTTTGGATCAAATGGATTCTCTTAAGTCAAGATGTCATAGAATAAGTTGTCGTTTGAAAGCGTAACGTTTTGTACGTATTCACACTGTATAATTAAAGCCCCTGATCTGTGGAGAGGAAACCCTGTAGCACAAGATAATCCTTAATATCTATGATCTGATTGGGACAGATGTTTTTATTATTAACAAAGCAATAACTGGGAGTTTTTGAGCCAATACCATTTTAGTATTACTGGCTCCACAAATAATGCACCTATGAAGAGGAGGGGGAGGTATCAATCCTGTTTTAGCGGCTGTAGGTCAATATTAAAAGGATATATTAAGGGATTTTTGGCCTAGATGCTATTTCTGCTCATAAGTTTGTTAGAAAAAGACAGAACTGACGCACGGGGGACAAACTGTGAATGTTTAAATGACAAAAAAAACTAAAACTGTCTGACCCACTGCAGACAACGACAATAACGATACTCAGTAAATATTAACAACTATATAAACATATTTTACTCAAACTGAAAATCAAGATCAAGATCACTATACAAAAATATGGGTTTAAACAGAAGTTTCAAAAATCCAAATGCTGATTATTTGGCTTAATATTAAAATCTCATAATTATGTATCTTTGTCTATTATGTACATACATTTACATATATACACACTTGAGATTCTGACGGATCATACAGAAGAAGTCACTAACATCCAATACTAAGTCTGGGATATGCAACAAATAAATAGTTCAATAACTGTACAATACCAGATAGACAGAAGTGACTGTTCTCTCAAGTCAAGTCTCTTTATCAGAAGCAAAACTATTCAATACTTTATTTGAATCTGAAGCAGTGACAACTCTGTAATCGCTGTATTCAACATGATGCAAGAGGAAAGGAAAAGGACAAGGTTCGATGGTTGTCTCTGGACTCGAGAGACAGGGAGAGAGAGAGAGAGAGAGAGCGAGAGAGCGAGAGAGCGAGAGAGCGAGAGAGCGAGACAGACACAGAGAGAGGGAGAATGAGAAAGGTTTGATGGTCATCTCTGGACTTGTCCGACAACAGTTTCTCTAAAAGCAGCAGCAACAGTTCAAGGCCACATCCTCCGCTACAGGGAGCAGTGCAAACAGAGCTTTCTCCTCAAATACATTCTGCGTCTGGTGAATATGATTATTATGAATATATTTACAGTCTACGGGTGAAGCGCTGGCTCAGACTGAACGATGGTGATCACGTGGAGATGGGTTTTATTTTGTGCAACATTCAATGGATTCAACAAAAGAGTGAAAAAAGGCACAAATGAAAAGATGGACAAAAAACTCAAGGATGAGGACAGGCAGTCTTTATTGGAACTGGGGTGGGAGATACAAAAACAAAATAATAATATAACAATAATAAAACAGACGGGCGTGGTGAGAGGTGAGGTGTGTCCGAGAGGCAGGAGTTAGGAGGAAGGAAAGGAGCTCTTACACTCTGCCTTTATGGCGCCACAGTTAATGGGCATAAAGGGCCGGCGTGCGGCGCGGCGCAGCTTGATGACATCACGGCACATGTGGCGGGCCAGTTTGGTGAGGCGCGTGGCCTGCAGGAGGAAGGCCTGCTTCGTCTTCATCGACGACTTGGGGCTGCCGCTGTTTCGCATGGGCACCATGTGATTGGACTGACGCGCCATGTGACCACGAACTCGAGGCTCCTGCAGAGAGGAAGGGAGAGAGTGTTAGAAAGGGGTTGAGAGAGGGGGAGAGTGACAGCGAGAGAGAGAGAGGGAACGAGGGAGAATGAGAGACAGGTAGAGAATGAAACAGGGACACAGAATGAAAGAGAATAAGGCTGAGAGAAAGAGAATGAGATGGAGAGAGAGGAGAGAGTGATAGAGGGAAGAAGAGTAAAAGACAGAGAGGAAGAGAATGAGAGAGAGTGAGAGAGAGAGAGGAGAGAGAGAGAGAAAAAGAGAGAGAAAGAGGGAAACAGACAGAGCAGGAGAATGAAATGGAGGGACGCAGACAGAGAGAGGGGGAGGGAGACAGACCAAGTTATTCTTCTGACCGATACGTTTTAATTGTAAACACGATAGAACCTCCTTTACATGTGTCTCTGTGCAGCTGCTTTGCTCTCTTAAAGCACTTTGGTTTATACTGTATAAGTGAAAAAAAAGAAATTCAGCACTTTCTATACAGCGACTTTGCTTCCTACACACATTTTCCTTCATCTTTTACTTATTTCTAGAAGCGCTCTCCTTTTTGTCTATTTCACATGACATTTATGAAGAAACTGGGATCTAAAGCAGCTACAGGAGTCTCAGTGTGAGGGATTTTTGATGGTACGATGTTCTTGCCTTGACGCTGACGATGCCGGGCGGCGTGGGCGACGTCCGCTCCTCCGTGCTCTCGGCTCGGCTCGGCATCTTCAGACCTCCGTACTTCTTCCAGTACATCCAGCAGGAGACGCAGAGGCGGCACTGCATGTTCGGGGGGCCCCACGAGTACCACTGTGCAGACTGCATCGCTGCGGACACAAGACGCCTCCATCAGCGCTGGTTAAAGAACAACGCGTCCCCACCTCCCAGAGCTCATCAGCCTCTGTCTCTAAGGCACTAACATTTGGGAAAGGGCTACGAGGATTTAGCATTTACACGACGAACTTCTCATTCATTATGGCAACATGGAGTCCTCAAATTACCTGCAAAACCAAGTCTAGCTGGGTTGGAGAAATTGGGGAGTAATAATGTACGCAGAACTCAAAAGAAAAAGTGCCACTGACAGGAAATAAGTGACAAAAATTCACAATAATGGATTTATTGCTTATTTCCTGGTCAAGAAAACGGCACAGCTCTAAGGACCGAACTCCAACAGTGAAAATATGTTTACAACTTTGCATTACATAAACTTAAAATTATTATGTATTATTTTATAATTACAGATGCATTTTATGTGTGTATATCCATGCATGTATACTAGGGGTGTGACGATATATCGATTTTTTGATATATCGCGATACTTTCTCACGCGATTCGATTATCGATATGCATTTGCAAAGTATCGATATCGATTTTGAAAAAATAAGAATTTTTTTTTTTTGAATTGGTATCAATACTTAATATATGGCTACATTACGCATCTCCATTCTATTTATCATGAAATGAAGAGTATTTTTTCTTTTATTTATGCCATAAATTGGCATATTGTATATTTCTGACCAATATATCAATAATCGTCATATCATGATAAAATCGTTATCGTGAGCTTTGTATCGTGTATCGTAAGGTACCCTTAGGTTCCCACCCCTAATGTATACGCATATGCATATGTATGGATATAGTTCTAATTTTTCGAAGTATTATTATTTCCCAATGATCTTTATTTCCCTTGTAAATTAGTTGCTACTGTATGAACGGTGCTTTATAAATAAATTAGCCTCGCCTTGCCTTTAACTTACATAATAACAGACAGTAATTTAATGCCAGGTTTATAAAATGTCAATAAATGTGTGTATTCGCGTTGAAACTCCAAATACTTCAGACTTTACAGACTTCAGAAACACACGCCAAAAGACAGTGGTGTCATACAATAAAAATGTCAAAAAATAGGTCCATTCCTATTGTTGCATAATCCATTACTGAAAAAAACAAAGGAATTCTTTTCAAACTGTACATCGTCTTCTTCTGTGATCAAGGTGGACGTGTCAGACTGAGGGCTTTAATAATGTAAACGGTGGTGAAACGGCTGGGGACGCAATATAGAGCAGGTCACCAGAGGAGGGAGATTGACAGCTGTCGTCGTGGAAACAAACCCGAGGACACTTATTTTGCTTTCTGTGTTTTGTTTCACAGTTTTACAGTCAGTGATGGGGCAATAAAGTTTAAGGCGCTGATGTAGTTGTTGTTGAAGTATGGTTCAGTCAAATGTGACCACTTCTTTGATGTGCTCAGAGTCAGAGGCTCTGGGTCTTTGTGCAGGTCGTCTACAGTAGTTCAGTGAAATGTTTTAGTCAGATTTACTTATTTTAATCCTACATGAATCTATCCATAAACATGAAATATGAATCGTGAAGAGGGCACACAGTGACACCTCCAAAGAATACCTTCATTTGATTGGATCCTAAAGGGACAATATTTAATCCCAGAATTTTGACTGCAGTAGTTTAGTGAAAAGGTTTGTCAGATTCACAAAATTGTGAACAGCGCACACAGTGACACCTCAAAAGAAAACATTCATGGATTCAATTGAAAAGTGACCAAATTTACCAAATGTAACAGTGTTTTCATCCAATCCCATTTTAATGATTAAGACTCTAGGGTTGCTCTGTTGTGGTCATAATATCCTCATACGTCCCATGTCTACATCATAAACACATACTTGGATACTATGGCTGCCCTGATAACTCCACGGCCTCATATATGTACTTAGAGCACACTCACTGTAGCAGCTCTCGCAGGCTCGCCCGCCCCCCGCCGTGTGGAAGGCTCCAGGGCCCGCGCCGTTCACCGTCGCCATTTTCCCATTGGTAATGGAGATCTGGTTTGGGTTTGGTTTGTTACTGTGACACAAGAGGGAGACAATATTTAAGTAACTATAATGTAACTATAGCATTGAAATTTAACATTTTTATTCTACATTGACTTCATGCCTCATCAGAATTGTTAGGTTCACATTATACAAACTAAAACTAAGACTTTATAGAAATATACAACATTCTTTAGATATTCAGTCCAAAACTATCATTTCTAGCTTTACACTTACTATGTGGGGATATAGACCTGCTTCAGTTTGCTCTCTGCTTCAGCCGCCTTCAGTCTCTTCTGCAAACAAAACACAAACCATTCATTAAAATCAATTTCAGACCGACAAATCAATTTCAGACCGACAAATCAAGTCAGACGTGAATATGAGAAAAATAAATGAGTGCTTTTCCATCGTCAGTGCATTTTAAACAGTGGAACAGTCACACTTTTATCGTACAGATACGCCATCCAGGACCTTTCCAATAAAACCAAATGTATGTGAAAAACATGACAAACTGGTAAATTAGGGTGTCGAAGCTTGCTGCTGTTGGCCTTCAATGTTTGCTGATACCTAATATGAACTGAAACCCGTGAATTAAATGAGAAATGCAAAGCACAGAAACGTATCACCTCGCCTGTGTGTGCCTGTGTGTGTCTGTGTGTCGGTGTGCCTGTGTGTCTGTGTGCGTGTGCGTGTGTGTGTTTACTGTAGCCATGATTGCACAAAACTACTTTGAATTTAGCGTGTAAATGGAATGTGATGGCAGGAAGATCCCATTCAAGGTCCGATCTGTGGCGTGGGCAGGGGTTTGTGGTCTCCGAGTGCATGTTGTAGTTTTCGATCTGGGTCCAATTGTGGCATTCTGCAGGTAACTCCAAAACTTTGTACGTGTTCAAGTTACAACTCGTGACATTTTGGGATAATATTCCAGTATAAATTAAATCATTTTGGATCAATGGGCAAATGCGTCCCTAAAAACAAGATTGTGTATTCGGAGAGAGCATACCACTGCCGTCAAATTTGAATGGGGTACTTCTACCACCTCATCCAATCTACACAGCAAATTTCACCTCCATTTCAGAAGCAGTTTTTGCGCAATTCAATACAATCTTTATTTACAAAAACGAAACAAGTCATACACAAACTAACTCCAAAGGTTTGTGAGTGTGTTGTAAAAGGGAACTCTCAGGAATCTGCATTAGCTTAAAGGCGAACAATCCCAAACAGACACACACAATAGTCCTTAGTTGCTCAATTGCGTTTTTTAAAATCAGGACAAAAACCTACAATTTGGATTCAAATTCTAAGTCCTCACCTGCTGCACGTATCTGTCTGTTGTTTTCCACATGTAGTAGTATTCTATGATGCTGGTCAGAGACTTCCAGGGCAGCTGCACATGACCAAATATGGACAGAGAAAAAACAGGAAAGAAGATAGAGATGATTAGTCAAATGTTTCTACTGCTATGAAAAGTGTAAATGCTTTCAAACAAAATTGGTAAAAGGAAAGAAAGCTGCTGCATGTCACGTTTTCAGAGATTTGGACACAGCTCCATCTACAGCTGTTGATCTGCAGAGCTAATGACTGCATATCAACATTCCTGCTTCCAGTGTGTTTATGTGAACAGCAGAGAGTGATAAGAACTATTATCAGAGCAGAGTTTAGAGACTTATTTTTTTTTTACTCCATTTAGTGGGAAAATTATAGTCAGCTCAAAAAGACAGAGCGACTCGCAAGTTTGCAAAAATAACATGTTTTATAAGATTTGTTCACAAGATTTTACTTCTACAAGACTTTCTGCTGGGACAAACATCTATGATTTATTAAAATACAAAGTTAATACAAAGTACAAAGTCGAGGCATTAATTCAACACTAGAACTTTCAAATATCAATTTTCTATGTGATGAATTTTGCCTTACACAAGGATTTGGACTGATGCCAGAATCTAATGCATTTTCATTTGACGCGGGGCTTTTTGCGCCCGCTTAATGTCAATACCAAGCTCATTCTTCTTTAGATTATTGCAAAAGTGTAAGTAAAAACAATATCATGTGAGATTCTAACAGTACAAAAATAAAACTTACATTCAGTGCAAAACGTTAATAAACATTTTAAAAAAATCGAGGACGCGTCTGTGGTTTGAGGCGGATTGAAAAGGCGGGACAATAGACCCAAGAGCGTTGCCACGGAAACACGTTGACGGTGGAAATTGACAAGTTGAAATTACAGCCGTCGAAGATAATGAAGCGAGAGTGAAGTCTGCGCGCGACAAAGGCATGAGTCACTGTAGTAAACAAACTGACCGAGCCTCAATCTCCGACAAACAATCACAGTCTGTCACTCAATCTTCGTCTGCTTTTTAGGTTTCGCTTCTCTGACGTTAGCGGCCGTCTGCGAGCGTTTACGTGGTGAGGCAAAGGAAGTGGATTTTAAATATTAAGAGATCCTTTTTTTTCATCCCACAGTGGGGAAATTTCTGTGTTGCATCATTACAGAACACAAGATAAGTGAAAAAGTCTTTGTCGTCTGCCTCTCTTTGATTTAATCTCCAGTATTTCTTTGATAACTTATATTATTATTTCTGTTTTATGGACTGTTTTTATGGCTTTTTACTTACTGACTGAAAAGTGCTATACAAAAAAATATCTATTATATTTATCATGAACAATAACTAAAATAAAAACAAGGTCTAAATCACAACTGGATGTGGCTATAACTCTATAACTGAGATTATTATTTATTTATTTGGTTTTTAGGGACAGACACAGAAACATTGACAAACTGACGCACAGTAGCCTGACGCATACATCATGGTGCTTAAAGCCAAAGCAAAGTTGCAGCACTTGTCCCTGGATTAATTATGTTCACACCGGCACTACATCTTGATTAGTTTCTTGCTTTAAAAAGGTTTGAAGAAGTCTCTGAGGGCTGCACTGAAGTCGCTGTTCCTTCACTCCACGCTCTGCTCCAGTCTGTGCCATCGACCGCAACAACCACCACCATCACTAACCACCGGAAAAAAGGTTTTTGCTGAAGATTCATCGATGAAAAACGAATCCAGGTTTGTTTGGATGAGCATTTTGAACCTGGTTAAACGCTCAAAAGATGTGGAGACACTGGTATGGCTGTCTTTTAAAAGTCATAGATGTTTGGTATATTTTGTCATTTCTGTAAGTTTTAAATTGTTCCTAGAGTCTGTAATAAAGATGAATTGAAAACTAATTTTTGATAATGTCTGTCTCTCTCTCTCTGTGTGACACCATTCCCCTTGAAATGCACAATAAGTGAAGTTTATTCTCCCCGTGAGGACAATGGACAAACCAAACCAATCCTGAACTTTAGGAGCTTCCTTGGCTCCAGACACGGATGCTTTTATCGTCTTATTTGCATGCACACGTCCCACCAGGCCAGTAAAGTATTTAAATCCAGTTTTCCCTGCACCACAGTGATTCCAACGGTTAATACATATTCATGACCACCTGTTGTGAACGTCCACTGCCAGAATATCTTTATTGGACTCATAAAAGTACAATAAAATATGGTTGTGAGAATCGGTCTTTCACTAAGAACTCAAAAAGGGGACAACTGATGAAAATGTGCTTAATCTCTTATCAACAAACAGGAAATACTTATTAAATCTATGACTGTAATTCACACAATAAACCCAGGCTCAATTTTTATTTTAATTGCGCAGAATTATTACGCATTGTTATTGGCCATTAAAGAAACTCCAACCCTTTACTTTGTCATTTCATGTTTAAGTGTGATTCAGAAAACTATCGTCAGTAGAAAATAAGTATAAAGGTATAGTAATGCCATAGCCCGGCCCAAACTCTACGGAATGTGGAATATGTGTATTTTATATGTGAAAATATGTGAAAATTACCGGCAGCAAGAACAGCAGTTGTAAATATCGTCATTTAACTTGATAAATTGACAAAAGTAATTGCAACTCTGAGTGTGATGTGTGATAGTGGTACAATGACACCATAGTATTACAGGACTGAGACTGGAGCTTTTAGACAGAAAAGGGGCGGAGCTACAAATTTGCACCAGAAGATCCTGATTTTAGGATGATCTAAAAACAGCTGCAGGTCTGTGACTGATGAGGGAAATATGTTATAGCTTTGTTAAAAACTAAGTAGATTTTGTATATTGTCTCCCATTTGTCAACTAGAAAACACACTTCTATAAAATGTGTGAATAAGTATATCAGATCATAATCCCAGTCTTTTTAATATTCTGGGATTATTAAAATATTCTGGGTGAAGTGGGCGGGGTCAGGTGGAAGGTGAAAAGACTATTTCCTCAAACTGGACAATATGACGCAACTGTTATTAATGTAGTAACACAAAGCACAGAAAAGCTGATTAATAATTCTAATACATCTTGAAATGATAAAATACTGAATGTATGAGAACAACAGTGAAACCATGAAAAATTTTGGTATCTGCCTGAAAAACCATTTATCAACCTGTGTTTGGACAAAGGCAAAAAAAAATCTCTCTCCAAAAGTCGATGTCAAGACTGAGGAGAAAGAATTCAAAAAATGCCCCAAGTCATTTTTGCTCAGATTTTGCTCAGACACAAAAATAAACAAAACGTTGACGTGTTTTGTTTGGGTCGCAAAGACGATTCAACTGAAACAATTTTTAATTTCTGGACCTCACACATCACAACAGAGGCAGGGAGAAAAATCATATACGTCTGACCCATTCATTTTTGTTAAAAGTCAAATTATAGACAGACCCAGGCGACTATAGAATCCTAAAGTGACTTTAATGACTTGTGTGATTGTTTCTATCTTTGAGCACTTTGAGTTGACTTCTTTCTTCACGACTTTAATCTTTGCCACCAGCGTTCTCCTGGCCCCGCAGTGTTGGCTTTAGTCAATATTGTGTCCGAGGGAAACTATGTTTTAGTTTCTCAATAACTATAAGAGTTTAAATAATTTAACTAATCCAGCAGCTGCAGATTGATCATGTTCTTTGAGTTACAATTATTATACCACTCTTGCAATCGACTGGTACTGTATATTAAAATGTATTGTATGTGTTTTAACAGATGCTCAATTTTTATATTTTTTTATTTTACATTTTTTATGTTCATTATTATGATTATTAAGATAATGATGATTATTTATGTTTTTGTCTTATCTTTGTGTTCTGTTTGGGGCTGTACTTTTGGGTTTTTGTTTTATGTCGAGTTTTTTGTGTTTTTGTTGAATGTTGATGCATTTGAACAACGAACCTGTGCACAGCCTCAAATCCTCAGACCTCAAACTTTCTGCTGTTCTTTGCATAAAAAACTTAAAAACTGAAACGTCCTCCCATTACGCTGCTTGTAAATGGAACGGCCTGATATCAAATCTGCTCCGACGCTGGGATCATTTAGGAGCAAACTAAAGACTTTTCAATGTCTTTCTTCAAATGTGAAAAGTAGCAGAAAGCAACACGTAATGAGTTCGAGTCTGTCTGAATTTGAACTGTTTTTTTCCCCTCGGTTTAACGGTTGAAGGAAAATGGTAAAGGCAAGAACTTGGTGTGACTGAAATGTCATCCACGGTCACTTACTAAAGGAGGCCCTCCACAGCTGAGAATCTATCGCCTTCTGCAGATTCATGCATCATAGAAGTCACTTTACCGGGAAAATGCCAAATCCTTCTCACAACTATACAAAAAGTTGATTGGAAGCACATTAATAATAGGACATTCAGATTAGGAATACTTGATAGTGACAAAATTAATATATAAAAACCTATTATTTTCAATTGTTTCAATTAGGGACAGAGCAAATTGGATTCTTTTTAGAGCCAAGTTTTGTAATTCTGTCCAAATCTTTTTTGGTAAAACTGGTTTAGTCATAGGATTAAGGCCGTCAAGAACCAAAAATTGCGGCATTTCATTATCTGTTGTTGGCGAATTGACAACTGCGTAACATCCTCCGAGTCGACTGCTGTTGTGATTTAGGGCTATACAAAAAAATATATCCATCCATCCATCCATTTTCTTCCCCTTAATCCATTTCTGCAATTCACATTGCACCAGCCCTTCACTGATCCTCCTGCAGGTGGTAAGTCCACAGGGAATCGAAATTGAAATAATCATAGCTTACAGTCCATTTTCACCTGTATAGCCTTCATACATCAGATGTTTATGGTAAATATATGATAAAACTCAATAAGATCCCTCAAGTTGTGCAAAAAAACCAGAAAGTAAAAAATATATGAGATAAGAAGCCTCTAAAGTACGATAAAAAGGTATCTTAAAGGGAAATCCACTCACAAAGTCTTGCCGGATGTCGTTGAAGTCTTTGCCGTACTTCTCCAGCGCCTCCTCGAACATGGCAGCCTCCGAGGCGCTCCACTCCTCCATCTCGTCTCGACAGAGCACCGGTCCTCCCGCCGGCACCAGCACACTCAGGGCGCTCGACAGGTCGTAGTTGTGACGGTGAAGAGTGTCCATGGCGTGGAACTGCAGCGGAATCAAGGAAGACAAGATTTTTTTTGTTGTGTCTCATTGGGGAATAGTTGTTGCCATAGCAGCGGAAATTACAGTATTTTGTGTTTGAGGAAAGGTTTTAAAAGAGTTTTCTTGCTATCTCTGCAGTTGTTCAGGTACAGGCCCTTCTCCACAGATCAATACAATAATTCCAGCTGCAGAAGTTGAAATAGTGAGTAAACAGTGAACTCACCAGTGTGATGTCTCTGGAGGCCGCGGCGGCGCTCATGTGTAAACTGGGCTGTCGTACCGAGCTGCTGCAGTCCAGCGCTCGAGCAAACGTTCCCACCGCCCTGAAGAGAGACGCACGGACGAACCTTATTATTGTTATTATAAAAGTAGTGACTGATGCAGAAAACATTAACAAACTATCAAACAGCAGACTGACGCATGCATCTTGGTGCTTAATTTAGCCAATGTAATCAGCTACAAATATGAATACAAGAATCACAGAGGTTTATTGGCTATACTTGTTTTAAAACGGCTTGGTACGTCTAGTAGGGTGCTAACAGAGCGTTACAGTGAGTTTACATGCAAAGAGAATGGTAATGGCCGTCGATGCGCATGCCGACTCGACACGATCAGCTTGTTCGCTCGAAGCATGTGCGGCAATCGACCAGGGAGCAGTAAAGTGGACACGCGGACCTTCAAATTGCTTTTCTTTTCAAATATATAAAAGGACATATTTTAATGGCACTGTTTTTGATTCCAATGAGATGAAATTTTAGTCTCTTAGAGTGATTGTAAAAAGTGTAATTCTCTGAACTAACAGCATTTCCTCTTTCCCAAACGGACGGGGACAAAGCCCACGAGTCGAAGCTGATAAGGGATGAAAATGAATGCAAATATATTCCACGGTGTCTGTGCACTTCGCTTGAATGGATTATTATGTGCAAACTTGACAGGAGCAAACTTGAATCACTTTAAAGCTCAGAAACTCGAGGCATTCAAATTGCAGAGTGACTCTACAAAAAGGTACAGCTGGGAAATATGTCTGTTTCCTGAGTCGTTTCTCACCGATGCAGGAGGGTTTGAGGACAGTGATCCGGGACGTTTAAGGACATTTATGAACATGAATAATGAACATTGGCCCCGCTCCCGATGGAACAATGGCTCCTGTGCGTTTGTTAAAATTGCATTTCCTTTGTTTGAACTCTGATCTGTTGTTGGTGAATCGACAATTTCCTTAAGTCCTCCAAGGCGACAGCTGTTGTAATTTAGGGATATAAAAAAATGATTTAATTGAGTAAATTAGGTTTGTCCCAACTTAAAGAGTTAAAAGTAAAATGTTGTGAGCAAATCATACTACCGATATCTTATTAGAAAACACGTTATCTTTTACGTACAAAGAGCCCTGTGAGTCAATATCAACAATTTGAGAGCTGAGAGATTGTCCTGTATTTTTTCACTTTTCTGTCTGAAAAATAATAATAACAATATTTTTTGGACACTCAAAGACGCTTCACATGCCATTATTCTTTCACTCCAAACACGGTGGTGATAAACTACTACTGTAGCCACAGCTGCCCTGGGGCACACTGACAAAAGCTGATCTAAAGAGGCCAAAAATACATTAATAAGAAAAATAGTGATAAAACTATTTTTAGGGCGATTAACTACCATAGCTATCAGTTTATCACCACAGCTTTAGGAAGAGGACGATTCTTTTACAAGTAAAGATCAAAAAGTTTTAAATGAAAAAAAGAAAGTTGTTGTTTCACCCAGAAACATAGAAATGAAAAATAAGTCAAATATGAGACGATTTCTAAAAATGTTGAATTACTTTAGCAGAAATGACTACTTAATTTCATCAAAATCATTAATCATTTCCACAATGATAACCTTAAATGATAAAAAAAATACCCTAAATGTTTTAGCTGAATTTTGATGATTTTCTCTTACCTTTTACCAGCCCTGTGTCACTCAGACCACATTTCGATTTTCCCTCTACGTTTAAATCACTGTGATGGATCATTTTGACCCGAGGGTAGCACAAGGGAGTTAAAAACAGACAAATCTTGCTACTGACCGCGCCACCACGAGGAATTGGTCGATCTGTTTGTTTGTGAGCGGACACTCGGGGTCCCACAGTTTCTCCTCGAGTTTTGCCTGGTCCTTGTCGTCTTCCTCACCTGAAGGACAAAGCATTTAATTATTATTATTTTTTTATTACTACCAACAAATATCAGACAAGATTGCATTCAGCTTTTATAGCGGTATATTGTCAATGCGTTCAAATAAAAACAAACACAAAGATCCAAACCAGGGGGATTATTTCATATTGTTAAGGCTGAGACCAAACAAAAATATAATGTTTGCTACGTGAAAAAAGTAAATATTGGTCACATGGATACAGTGGCTAGTAATATTATTTTCTGTACACACACATTCTTTCAAACAGACCAGACCAATGCAAGAAATCAAAAACAAACAAACCTTCTATTAACATTTCTGGTACGTCTGCCTGAAACCGTGGCCCGACTCTGATCTCTCCTTTATCGGCGAGTAGCGTCTTCTGTGTCGGGTCGTAAACCAGCGAATAGAAAAATGTGTCCTGGGAAACAAAACACGTGGGATTATTACAACGCTCTCGTCGCATATCCCCCATGTCTATAAATACTACATATTTGTGAGTAGATCAAATCTGACTAAGTATACTGGATAAGTATTCATGGGATTTATGGTTTATTTTACTTATATACATTTCATTATCAAATGTTGACAGTTTATATATTATTTAGAAACAAGATTGCAACATAAATCTTTATTGCAGTCTGACACCGTGCAGTTCTAATATGCAACATTAAAGCTGCACTAACTGACTTTGGGATTTTGAAGCCGCAGACTCGCTGGCCTCTCTCTTTCTGCTCCCCTCCCCGCACCCACGAAGCTATCGCCCCCCACACACACCCACTGTTGGGACGGAGTTAGCGTCTCCCAATATGGATAATACACGAATATGGATTTTCACGTGGATGGCGTGACCATAGAACGATAGAACCGGGAAGAGCGGAGGAACGGGGCTTTCTTTTGGATGGCTGTCTTGCTGTGTAAGCAGAAACCGGTGACGAAGACACACAAAGCTTCAGGTTAGCTCCTCGGCTTGTTGTGCTAACGCAGCTGTCTATGCTAACGGACCTGTAGATTTCTCACGAAAGTGGGGGCTAGTGGTCCGCTGCGATTGGTCACAATCCGCGACCCGAAACACATTCTCTTCCTTGTTTCATCAAAACTCGATCTAAAATATAATGTCACGCCAGCACAAATCTGCGCTACTTTTTCTTCAAAATGATGTATATCCCAATGCACTGCATGGACATGGATAGCATTTTCGTAATGAATACAAAAATAAAGTCAGTTAGTGCAGCTTTAATGCTACAAATAGGTTTTGTAAACTTAAAAAAATATCAAAATGAAAAGAGTTTTGACAGGAGCTACTGAATCGACACACGCACACACACACTCAGGCACACGCACACACTCAGGCACACACACACATACATTCTCATCTGGGTATATCCACACAAACACAAGCATACACCAATACCCAGGCATAAACAAAAATGCACATACAAATACACTCAGCACTCATGCTCTATCAGACACAAACATATACACACATGCATGTATACCCACTCGGGCACACATGCACACACACACACAAACACCTATTTGTAAAACAATGTAAATATGAAAATGTAATTGGGGTAAGCTCCCACAAGTATTATACTTCGGCTTACTCCCTTTGAGCTGTATCTATTTCTTTTTCTTTTTGAATTGTTTTCTTTTTTTTCTCTGTATGTTTTATATGACCTGCTCAAATAAATTCATATCAAATCAAATTTAAAAAAAAAAATCGAGGACCTGGATTCCCACAAATGTTTCCCTACGTTTTTCATTTTTCCTACATTATTCTCCCGGTAAATGATTTTTGTCATCTAAAAACGAGGTGATAACCAGCACAATTTGTTCTGCTTTTTGTCCACTGCACAGATAAACAGTAAAAAAAAAAAAGCCATTTTAAATCACACTAAAATGCTGTGATTTTTACTCAGGCAAAAACAAGTGGCTTTTACATGTGAGACATTTTCCTCACCTCTTTGTCGAGATACGAAAGAACAGCTTCAGTCTCGTTCAATAAAGCCACGCTGCATTTCCCCCTAAAACCCAAAACCAAACACAGAATTAGCATCAAACAGGAAGTGAGCAGAGCCGCTGAATGCGTGAGCGCCCATGTGCACTGCTGCGAGAGGAAAACAATGTATTCAAACAACAGAGAAAACCAGGAGGAAATCATGTAAACGTAAAGTAAACGTGATAAAAGGACAGGTTTACAGAGGACACGCTAAATCAACCAACACTAGAACTCACACTGAAACACTAGAATTTGACTGCTTTTCCACTAGAAAATTGCTTTGTCTCTTGGTGGAATCAAATTTTATAAGTAAAAATAGAATGAGGCATGTATTAAAAAAAGTGCACTGAGTACACACAACCTGTTTGGTCCCCTTAACTTTGTGATTTGTATCCGTTTCTATATGTATTGGAGCTGGTTCTGGTCCAACTTGTTTTTTCCACCAGAGAAGAGCGAGTGCTGGTTACCATAGCAACACACCGCTTACAGTTAGCAGTTAGCATTCGGTAGCCTTCCAACAAAATGGTTTTGCTGCGTTTCAAGTTTTAGTCACCAGTTTCAACATCAAAAGAGTAAATGTAAAGGTGCACTTTATAGATCCCCGTAGAGCAATTCATCCTCTGCATTTGACCCATCCTGATGCCGCTAAGGCTTACATCAGGAGCAGTGGTCGCCGTAGTAACAGCGCCCGGGAACCCATCTCCAGATGTTGATGCTCGGCTTGGTCAGGAATACCGGAGCTGGAGGATTTTGCCTAGTGAGCATGTTTTTAGTGGTAGGGGAAACCGGAGTACCCGGAGGAAATCTACGCAGGCACAGGGAGAACTTGCAAACTCCACTCAGAAAGACCCCATTCCGAGTGGGATTCAAACCCAGGATCTTCTTACTGAGAGGCGAGAGTGCTATACCCTCAGCCACCGTGAGTAATTCACCGTGAGTACCTCATGAATTACTTATTTTTTATAAAACTGGTGAAAAACGAATAATTTCTCAGATTTCAATTGGTGTGAACTTTTAAGAGTGTTCCAACTTCTTCATGTTTAATGCTTGAGATGTTTTATTTCCCTCTAGACAACAGATAAATCCAGTCTACAAAGCTACTGGCACGGACCCCCTGCACTTTACTTTGTTCATTAATTTCATAAGTCTAATATTCTCCAACATCATCCAGGCATTTTGGCTCGCTCTCAGCCACTTGCCTCCTTTGTTTTTACAGACTGTAGAAGGAGCGGATTAGCCCAGCGCTGACGGCCCCAACAGCGATTGCCTTATCACAGAAGAAGATGATTAGAGCTAGCTCAAACAGGCTACATAGATGGGAATGCAGAGCCAAATTCAGGCACGGCAACGACCTAGCAACCAAAGGGCCTATCAAACAAATTATATTTCTATAATGGGGACTCATACAGGTGAGAGGCAATGCCAAAACTGACACTTGTTAATATTTCCTCCATGTTCTATTTGATGCATTTTTATTTTTGTATTGAATTTGAGTCTGTAATAGTAGTTTATGTATTCGGTTATTATGAACAAATATCGTGAGATCAATAAAGTTATCCTATTAGATCTTGGGTCACATGTTTTCAAAGATCTTATACATTTTACAATAAGAAAAAAACAAAATAATTAAACGTAAGATCGTATTATTAAACATATTATTAAATGTATTTATGATTTCAACCAAATAACGGAAACATTTGCACAATTGTTGCTTTCCTTGTGATACATGCTGAAGCTAGAAGTTTGCAATTATTAATGTGGTAGTCGCTAAAAAAACACTGTAGTAATATAGTACAAAACTCCACAAACAATTCTAATGTCTTCTTGGGGGTATTTCAGACCTGATATGTGTGGCCGGTAGACTTTCGTACTGCCGCGAGAGAAAGAGTTCTCTGTGACGGAGCTGGTGCTTCTGTTTGTCTGTGAGGTCTGTCTCTACGGGGCTCTCCTTCTCCTCCTCCAACTCCTCTGCAAAAAACAACAACACAAAACAGGGTTTAGATGAACGTCACATTTCTCCACAGCAGCAGCAGCAGCCGGGGGAGCACGAACGCCAGACACAAACAAGTGCTTCTTTACTGGGGATGTTGCAAAAATCTATATAGGAGAAAAGAGCAGAGAAGCTAAAACTAAATCTACATAATCATTTAAAACCGGACATTTTAGGGATACAAAATGTTTTTTCTATGTCCCCTGCGACGCAAACTCACTTTCAGACAAAAAATACTAAAACTACTTTCAGACAAAAAATACTAAAACTATTTGTCGACCTCTCTCACAAAGCTTTAGACCTGCTTTTTCATATAGAAATGTGAAAAATAGAAGGACCACTGTCACACAGCCAATCAGCTCTCAGCCCAAAGCATCAAATAATGACTCACAGGGCTTTTGCTAGAATGCTAAAGGTGAGAGCAGGTTTGGGAGATTCTTTTACCTGACCCTTACTGTTAGAAATCCATGTATTATAAGAACAAAGGTTAGGTACCCCAGCTTTAAAATGAAATGACAAAAACAAGACCAAGAAAACAAGACTGCAATAATAATCTGCACTTATAGTTTTAGTTTAGATTTTTAAGCATAAAGACTGTACTTCTGTAATGTGCTTTCCTTAGAATACAGCTCTTCTAATTATTATCCAGGAAGAGAAATGTTACAGCTCAACAGTAGGGGAACCACTGCACAACACTAATATAATTAAAATGGGGGAATGGAAGAAATATAAAAATAATTAAAGGGTAAAGATAGTTTAGCCAAAAGAGGTTGAAAGTGATTCAGTTTTTTTGCCTTTAGCAGTAAAACCACATTGGAATACATGAAAGCAAAAGTACCGCAGTGTGCCCCAGACAAAGTACAGCAAATGTTATAATATGTTTTAAAAGTAAATATTTGTATTGTATCCAAATGGAGATCAATTATTCATGCACAGTACAAGCCCAAGGCAAAGGAGAAGCAGAGGGTTAAACCTGTTGGCATTGGGCAAATTCTATGATTTTTTTGGTTGCAGTTTGATCAATACTAATAAGCTGTAGTACAAAAAAAAAGTGGATTTCCAATGGCCTTTGTGTCGCATCGGGTTATAGTGAACGCAAAATAGGAAAGTGCTTTCAAAACAGTATGAATCGTACAACACGAAATGGAGCACTTAGTTTGACGATTTCCCAAAGAGCAAGCTTAATATTTCAGCGTTTTTCCGAACACAATCAAAACTACAGCCGTTCGTACTTGTGGCTCAATAACAAGTGAAGGCTCTTTTTTTTAAACTTGTAGCAATAAAAAGAACTTGAATTATTTGAGTTCTAAAAGTTGGTGTGATCAAAGTTTGGTCCAGTCCCGAAGATGAGGTTATAAAACAGCCTGTCGGTGAAGCCGCTCCCACGGGCTTTGGCCATTTCAAACTATTGCACCATTTATTTTTGGAAAGGGCCCTGCGCGCGACAAATTTCATCTTAAGCACTCCTCCGATGATCACCATGGCGATCCTGGGCCATATTTAAAAAGATATGTACGGGTGATTAATTTTTATATAGCGTCGGGAATATTTATGTCTTGTTTCACACTTGGCAGTTCCACGCTGATTACTTTTTCCCTGGAGGAAAAAGGAGCAGAGGGGAAGAGGATGTGATGAGTCAGCAATAATCACTGTTAAAACCAGTGTCAGGTTTTGGGCACGATTGGGGGCGCCACCTGCATGTGCCACCAGATACTGTCAGACTTCTGAAGCTAAGCAGGGCAAGGCCTGGTTAATACCGTGATGAGACCTCTGGGAACACCAGGTGCCACAGTGGGGCTTATGTTGTTGTGTCCTTAGGCAAAACACGTCACCCACATTGCCTAGAATGAGTCTAGTGTGTGTGTGTGAATGGTTGGTGGTGGTCTGAGAGGCCGGTGGCACATACTGGCTGACTCGCTTCGGTGGAGTGACATGTGTAGTAAATTTCATTCTACATTTCCATGTTTCTGTGGTTTTAAAGTTGCAGACCCCAGCTTTACGATTCAATACCGTCAGTGCAAGCCTGATTTCTTTAGTCATGTTAGCTCAATATTTACAATCATTTCAACTATGTAGGAGACGAAAGCCCTGCACACTGAAGTTCTCTACAGCTCCAGATTTGTTCAATTTTAGAGTTGTCATCAGAAAGAGTCCTGAAAATGTGAGACAGGCTTCTGCTCCGACAATGTTCAAATCCAGGTTAACACAGTTCTGTTTATCAGTGCACACAACTTGGATTGTAGCCACACTCCCATTTAAAGACCTTATGACGGGTTTGATTTATTTAGAAATACAGTTTTAATACCATTTTATATAAGAAGAGAACTACTAAAGGTTTCAAAATCAGTTGTTGTTTTTTTTGTCTGATCCCCCCAAATCGAAATAACCCCATAGCAACGCCCTTAGAGACGAAAAAACTTCCCAGCCCTTGGTGACGTCAGAGTGGGTACGTTTCACCGCTGTAAGTTGTTTACAATTTGGTATTCGTTCTTTTTTCGCGGATATTCAAGATGACAAGGCCGTGTACAGCGAGTATGACATTACTACTAGATTATATAGGAGGGGGGCGTGACTGTTTACATCTGAGGCTTCTCGGCCCCCACTACCCCCCTCCTCTTCCTTACCAGCACCGGGTGAGTACTGTGGTGCAAACACTGACCTCTGTCAGTCTGGCAGTGTAACGACAGTCCTGCCACTGAACTGTGCTGACTCAGTTATGCATCTGGAACTTAACAAAGTACAACAGAGTTCACTTTTTAAACCAATAGAGACTGTGTGTGTTCCTCGCACCAGCTCAGAAATGTGTTTTAACTTGAATAAACACAAATTTAAAAGAAGGACAGCAGTTAGACGGTCCAACTCTGGAAATCTAATTCCAGTTCTTTGTAATCAATCAACTAAACCCACTGACACTGATATTAATTTTAACCTTGCTCTACTTAATGTCAGATCACTATGCAACAAATCATTTTTAATTAATAATTTTATCTGTTCGTATGATCTTGATTTTATGTTTATGACTGAAACATGGCTTGACCATAATACAGGAGATGCAGTTTTAATAGAAGCCTCACCACCAAATTTCAAATTTGAATATGAAACACGAGAAAATAAAAGGGGGGGGGGCATAGCAGCAGTTTTTAAAGATCGTATTGTCTCCCATAGAGTGTCTCTTGGGAAATTTTCATCATTTGAGTATGTTTCTTTTAAAATAGAACAAAAGAAATCTTCTTCCATTCTTATTATTGTTGTGTACAAGCCGCCACAGTCATGCCATAGTTTCACTGATCATTTCACTGAGTTGCTTTCAGTTGTGTGCACAGATTTTGATGGTTTAGTCATTATAGGCGATTTTAATATTCATGTGGATAATGTTAATGACAGCTACGCAAAAGAGCTGAGTTCCATACTTGAATCCTTTGGCCTCACTCAGCATGTGAGTGGCCCCACCCATAGCAGAGGACACACCCTGGACCTGCTTATCACGAAAGGGGTGAATATTTCAAAAGTTAATGTAGTTGATGTTGCTCTGTCGGATCATTTCTGTGTATTTTTTTAACATGTGTTTTGCTACCAGACCACCCGCTAAATATGAAATTGTTAGAAGTAGACACTTAAATGAAAACACGGGTGAACTATTTATGGGAATGATCCATTTTGAGAATACATCATGTTCTACTGTAGATGAACTGTTTAACTCTGTCACCTCTAGTGTGTTGAATGTTCTGGACGCCATTGCCCCTGTGAAGGTAAAAATGGTCACAAATAAGCAAAAAGCCCCATGGATAAAAGCAGGCCCGGTCAGGGCACAGAAGCAAGAGTGCCGGAGAGCAGAGAGAAAGTGGAGAAAGTCCAACCTCCAGGGTGATTATAGACTCTTAAAAGAGAAGTTGTGTGAGTTTAACAGAGTACTACGTAGAACAAGAGAATTATACTTTTCTGAAACTATTGAAGGCTGCAGCAACAATCTGCGTGTTCTATTTTCAACAATCAATAGATTAACGAACCCCCCTGTTGAGTTGCCATTAGAACACTACTCCAAATCCAGGTGTAATGAGTTTGCACAGTTCTTCAGAGACAAGGTTCAGGGTATCAGAAATGCCATCACCTCCACAACACAAGTAACAATGCAACATCCAGTGAGGCTTTGTGAGCTAGCTCAATTTGCACCTGTCAATAATGAAACTGTTAAAAAGATAATCACAGGTCTTAGTTCCTCTACCTGCAGTCTGGATGTACTACCTCCTAGATTCCTGAAGTCTGTTATGTGTAGTCTATTACCCTCATTGACACAAATAGTAAACATGTCTTTTTTATCTGGAACATTTCCAATGGCCCTGAAAAAGGCAGTCATTAGGCCCCTCCTAAAAAAGAGCAGTTTGGATGCTGCGGTACTTGAAAATTACTGTCCCATCTCAAATCTGCCTTTCATGGGAAAAATTCTTGAAAAAGTTGCCTACCAACAACTTACTGAATTTTTAATATCTAATGACTCATTTGACATGTTTCAGTCTGGCTTTAGACCACACCACAGTACTGAGACCGCTCTAGTCAAGGTAACAAATGATATTCGGCTTAACACTGATGCAGGAAAAGTCTCTGTTTTAGTCATGTTAGATCTGAGTGCCGCTTTCGACACCGTTGACCATGAGATTCTCATGCAGAGACTGGAGGACTGGGTTGGTGTTGCTGGTACCGCCCTAAGCTGGTTTAGGTCCTATCTAGAAGAAAGGAAGTATTGTGTGGAGATTGGAGACTATGTCTCAGATAATATGGCCCTGACCTGCGGAGTGCCACAGGGGTCGATTCTGGGACCTCTCCTGTTCAATATTTACATGCTGCCATTAGGTCAGTTAATTCAAAGTATGAAAGTGTCCTACCACAATTACGCTGATGACACTCAGATCTATGTCTCACTGACTGCAGGAGAGCATGGACCGGTGGACTCACTCCTTCGCTGTATCCAGCGGATCAGTGA